CTTCCTTTATCCCAAACCGCCAGAAAACTCTTTGGAAATTATTCGAATATAACTCACTCAGTGGCAGCAGATAATAAAATAATACCTTTTAGATTGTTTGATTTAAATTTGGAAAAGTCAGTACTTTTTAAACGACTTAAAACAAGAAGGAGGTTATCAATTCGGATGTGTATATGTTTTTTTACGTATTTTTGGGCATAACTCCGTCATACATAGACGGATTTGCAAAGTTATATTTGTGTCCGAAATGGTCCCATTTTAATTTCATATAGATCTGATGATGAGTTCTGAAACAGGCAACGGTTCTCTTCAAAAAGGCTAACAAATCAACCGCGATTGCTGCTTGGTTTTTAAGGTTGGTTCAACATTTCTTTAAAAAGGATTTATTTGATATTATGTAACTTTAATTATTTTTGTATAAATTTTGAACTAAGAAATAATTTATTTGGTATTTGAAGCATATGAATGGCAATAATTTTGTTTATATTTTAAAACTATAAAATTGTGTTCAGCAATGATTCTGTTGCCTTTAGAGAGAGGTTACCGGAGGTGATAGCACGCAGATGCTTTGTAAAGCGATTCAAATTCGGTTGTATATGAATTACTGTTCTTATCTCTTTACAGGGGCATCCAATACCAGAATATTTCCCATAGGCTGGACCCTCGTTTTGTGTGGGAATCCCACTGGAAGGGCGGTTTGATGATTAAGTCGGATTCCAAAGGACTAAAACCGAACGATACACTGGTACCCTGCGAACCGGCGCGGCGTTTTATAAAGGTGGAGCTTTATCCTGCTTTCTTTATCCCGTGTGTGTGCTCCAATTATATTGTTCGGACTTACACCGGCCACAGCTTTCCGGCATCATTCAACACGACAAAATTTTCATCACTTATATACTTTTAACTACACCACTAAGCGCTTTTTACTGAACTTTTTGCCTGGCACAACCAAGCTGGGAAACAAATTATAGCTTGCGGTACTTCTGAACCGATACGACCTTCAAGATTTAAAAAAAGAGCGTACTTCCACCTCAAAGGCTAACAACGCACTCGTGACTCTTGAGTTGCACTTGCGGCGGTTACCATCATGTGACCCGCCCGTTTCTCGTCGTATCAAATTAAAACACTTATAATAGAGATTGCGATACCTAATACCGCAATAACAGTAAAGTAATAAATTGTAAGTTATATACACAAATATTTATAGTATAATATTTAATTACCATATAATTAGCAACTTATTGTATACATACAATATTGGAATATATTATATCTTACACAAATTCTGACACGTAACAATAGAAACCACAAAAAACTACACTACTTATTTTTATTTTTTTGTAATAATTATAGGCTATACAAGGAAATTTAACTCAATTCAAAGTTTAATTTATTTTCTAAAACTTAGTAGACATTTCATGAGGTACCCACTCACCTATCGACTCATCACGAAATCTGGAAAACTTTTTGAGGTATAAAGGTAAGTTTTGACTCGAATCTAGTGTAGATGTCAATTACGTTAAAGTAATGTTTCAATAAATGGGGTTTAATGTTATTAGCACTTCAAGCAATGGGGTAATAAAAAAAAAGGGCGCGAGTAATACTTAGACTTTCATAATTATTCTAAGGTTAATAATATAGTCCTTGTATTTAAATGGGACTAAACCCATCCACACGCCCACATCTGTAACTCCTGTACACCAGGATCCACAGCAGTGACCCACGAAAACACCGAGTTATGACACTCGGGAAGTCCCAGGAAGAAATTAAACTGTCTTAGAACCCGCAACGAAATTAATCAGAAAAAAATTGGAGGAGTTGGAAATACAGTAAATCCACTTCCCTCCTTAGCAAAGCGGGAGACAAAATGAAGTAAAATGGGCATACATCCTTTTAAACAGGGAAGCACCACGGCCACAAAATATTACGGGTCCTACGTGAGCTATATTTGATTTCTATAATATGTATGGCAGAATCGCCTAAACGCACGGAAATTCACCCTAGTTGACACAAGATCCCCATAGTATACCGCCCCAGATATCACCTGCAAGGTATTCAGCATTATATTAGGTTCATTATACCAAAGACTCATTTCCAGAGGATATGATGAGCAGACTGTTCATAGTGAGAGTTAGGTGTTGAGCATTGACACAATGGTGACTCGACTAATTTAAACGAATAAAGCTTGCTCTTAAAGTTACCATGACCCGTAAGAAATTGAGCGACACAGTGATCCACCTCAAGCCATGTCCTCGACAACCGTTCGCGAACAGATGGAAAGAATTGGTTGATTCATCCCAGCGTTGTTGCCATTCGTCTATCAGGTCATTATAGACATCGGACTGCTGTTGAAGCAATCTTGTAATTTTACCGCGATCCCGCGCGCCCAAAAAATCGCATTCCATGTTTTGTTGTCTTGAATAGTACATGGCTGCACGTCTCTGCACCTCGAGATCGACCGGAAGCACACCCGCCAACACCGGCAAAGCCTCAGTGCTAACCGTCCTATATGCCTTGCACAAGAATATCAGTGCAAGTCGTTGGCCTTGTAACAGTTTGCGACGGACAGCGCCTACGGTCGCCCTATCGGCCCAGTATCCGTACTTTTACGTTACGGATGGCGTAGTGGTTTAAGCGGTTACCTCGCCGCTACCTACTGCGCTGTGTGTTGTGGGTTCAATCCCCATACGGGACAACACCGTGTGCGATCCACAAATTGTTGTTCTGAGTCTGGGTATCATTTGTGGCCGTTTCATGCATGTTTGTAAAGTCCCCTGCGACACAGGATTTAATCCTAGTGTGGGAGTTGTCTTTTGAACAGAGAAAAAAAAGAAAGAAGAATCGCGTATAAGTAGATATAATAAAATTATATATGTACATTTTTAAGGCTTTTTAGTAACGATTTGAGTACATATGTACATGTGTACATATGTTTATATTAGCCCCGATCTGCTCATGTCACTGTTATTGTTTCTTACCTCTCCAGCTAAACTAACTCAGAAGCAGATTTACATGAACTTCCAATCCACAAACATTTGATCGAACAATTACACTACACTACGCTTAGGTATGATCTTTTCACATTTCATATAATCAAAACAAATTTTCAACAAACACGTAAATTGTTGGTTTTATTCATCATACGAATGCGAGTGCCGGCTAGCCACTGCGAATGATAGATATCTCAAAGCGGAAAGCGGCTACAAACAGTTACACAGATTGATGCTTCAGTGATCTTTACTTTACGGTTGTTGGAGATACAAAACAACAGGAACACAAATCTATTGTATCATTTATTTTTCTATGTATTGTGATATCTTTCAAATAAAACTATATCTATAGTACATTTAAAAATAATAATTTACCTTAATTATTATTACCTTAATGATAAGTATTGTATAGGTTAACCAGAATCTCATGGCAGAACGTTGCTCAAACAAATATAAAATCATTAAAAAACGGATGGTGTAGAGGTTTAAGCGGGTCGCCACACTACTTCCTACTGTACTGAGTATTGTGGCTTCGATCCCCACTTGGGACACCACTTTGTGTTATCCACAAATTGTTGTTCTGAGTCCGGGTGTTATTTGTGTCCGTTCCATGTATGTTTGTAAACTCCCCCGCGATACAGGATACATATTCCTAATGCGGGACTTGTCCGTTTATAAAAAAAACTGATTATTGTATGAAACAGAAAATACGATTAATAATAAAATTATAAACATGATTTTCTTCATCGCCTTCTTCATTTGATTAGGACATTTAGACACGCAAGGAGAATAATTGGAGTCAATTTCTAGTTCCATTTCGATTGACGATTTAATTTGGCGTTTATTTTCGTACCACGAGTAGCTAGACTGCCGCTCACTTCTTCACCAGCACTTCATCAACGATTCTTACGCGTTGCATTTCAGGATAAAATGTAGCCTATATTCGCCTTGTTTGTTGTCTAATAATAATCTAGCCTTTTTTGTAATTCAAATTTCAAAGTTTTTCTATATTTTAGCAACAATCCTATTCAAAAGTGTTTTTGTTCTTGCCTGTTTATCGAGAAGCGCTATAAAACACTATGTTGCGATTAATATCAGCGATGCATTGACAATAAAGTTAAAAGAAAAGTCAGGTTGTTGTAGAATGTCATGGGATGAACTTCGTATGTAACTATAACCGCGGGCACTGTTCGTAAATAACTTGAAAGTAATGTTTAAATCCTAACTATTATACATCATACATTGCAATACTATACAATATCAAATAAATTAAACTACAATATTTTATTTTCTTGTTTGCCATAAGATTCTGCTAGACTTGAAGCATACAAAACATTTTAATAAGGTTATTCAGATCATAAAAAGTCAATAAAATGATTTAAAGACGTCGGGCTCTTCCGGTAGCTTCTTGCCATAATATATACACAACGGAAATTTTGAGTAGTTCTAGTTAAACACTTTTTTATTATAATCAAATGATACAAATAAATACATTATACAAAATATATTTACTGACATCTTCCATTAGCAAAATAAAAAGTCATACATCATATTTGCATTTAACTATTTTTAGAATGTATTAACCTGCTCTAATTACGTTTTTTTTTATGATATAATTTAGTGTATGATCAAAATATATCAACTTACTTATTATACGAATACATGCATAACTGCACTTCTACAGCACTATAAGTGGAAACCTTATAGTTAATAGTTCTGACTAGTAACTTCTAACGGAGTGTGAGTTTAATATTAATTAGCATCCAGATGTGTTAAGTGCACACTGCAACACATAATTGAAAGGTTCATGCCCAGCTTTTGACAACATTCCTGGATGTCGAAACAACATTTCAGAGTTCGGTTTTAATAGTAAATTATAATCTCATAGTATTCGTGAGCATCCGTGTATTGTAAAGTTATCTGAAGAAATACGTATAGCAAATGACAGTTAAAACTTTTGCTATCAAGAAATAAGTGTTTAATATCCATTAAGAGCAATAGTAATCAGTTCTACAAAGCTGTATCTGAAGTATTGTGTAGTTCGTTAATTGTACCTGAAACAATGACGTCAGAAATGAAATCACATATTATAAACATATATTAAAAATTACATGTATTTGTTTCGCCAAATAAATTGCCCTATTAGCCTTATAACATGGCCCACACACAGCAAAAATTCAATTCTCATTAAAGTTGCAAAAAGATAATTCCAACGATTTACTCAATCAAACTAATCAATTCTATATCGCGTAATGAAAGTTCTTGCGTCGATTAATTTGCGGTCGGCAATTGACAGAACCCAAAGGTTGATATCGGTAAATCGCATATATATCGTACCAACATTAATCAATCAGAGGAACATGATAACAGTGCCTTTACAGCATGTCAAATATTTGTATTAATACTAAATTTAAAAAACTCTTATTTAAATGGAATTGATAAATTCAAATTGAGCTGAAACCTTTTAAATGGCTGAGACTAATTTCAGTGAAATCTCACTTTTCATCAATATTGTCCGATTTCATGACACCATACAAATAAAGTTGCACTACTGTTTATTTTTAAGTAAGAATATTTGCTTACTAGCAAGACAAGTTCTCAATTGTTCAGTGTCGCAATATATAGCATCTTGCAGCACATGACTGAGTTGTTCCTTTACTGCTGGTTTCACATTGCAAAATATAACTCTTCCTGATCTACGCCAATCAATAACCAACATTTTTAAGCTCTGGAATAAATAGAAAATATTATGAATATTAATATTCTATATAATTAGTCTTTATCTACAAAAATAAACAAATAGCATTCAATCAAAAGTCTAGGTTCTAGAACTAAGAAACCACAAGACAAGTAAGAAATAAAACAATTTGTTTCATTACATAAAAAGTACTATCGTCGCTTATAGCAGAACCTAAGCCGGCCAGTGTTATTTGGATAGCGAGTTCTTTTTATGAAATATCCTTATTGGCTAGTAAGAGTAACAAACTTTTTATTGCGAGCATTTTTTTGATATCGGCAGCAGTTTCGGAAAACAAGTTGGTGTTATTGTACAAAAGTTTACAAATCGAGACTATGCTTATAAACTCCATAGAATAAACATATTGAATTTAAAAGTGTAATTACGAGGATTTAACCAATTCTTACTTTTTACTTATAAATTTTGAGTAGTGGATTCAAAATTCCTGTTTCAGCGACATACGAATTACATCTTGCTTTGACGATTTCAAATATTTTTCTTTCTGAATTACTATTTCCATCATTTTAAATCCCTTTGTTATGGCTGTACCATCCAATACTGATAAGATCATCACTGATAACAACGCAATTTATCGCGGACCACCAATCAAACCCATTTCGAATTCTGAGCACATACCAATAAAATAAAACCATTCCTCCTCTCCGTCCCATTTTCGCCAATCTTTTATATTTTTCTATACCGTATAACTATCTAATGTACATAATCTCGAATTCTGTCTTTGTACGCCAAGCTAATGGCTAGCTGAATAAAATCCCTATGAAATCAAATGCTGTGAAATACAAAATGCAATTATGACTTAGCCGAAGGACCCGCTTATTGTGTTGAATATTCAATGTCTTTATCCTTTAAGGCCTATACACTTAGGTATTGAAAAGAACCGTTTGTACAAAATTTAAAGAATCGTAAAGAATAATGTTGGTATTTATAATGAGATAAGAATAGTATGTCTAAGAAAGGGTATATTTATTTCAGATAGTATCACTAAATATTACTCTGAACGCGGCGGAGACACTTAAAAGCTAGTTATTAATCTACGTTAGCTTATCTTTTCGTTAGTTTTTCTTTATTATTTGAATATAATTCAAAATAGTTTTTCGAGGTATGCGATTTAGAGCTACTTTGGATCTTATTTACCGACAGTTTCCATAATCGTAAGTAGTCTAAGCCGGCGCTGATCGTAGAGATCTGAAATTTGGAGGCCGTTTCCTTATACGCTATAGGAATAGATATGATAAAAGCGGTGACATTGCTTACAAAGCGTTTTTTTTTTAGTGCCACCACCACAACTTTTCAGAGTGGTGTTTTGCATAGTTCACATGAACTGCTCATGAATGGTCTACATAACGAAAGAGTCTTTATATTTAGAGCATTTGTTATTTATATATTTAAAATTATTATATTGTTTTAAATCTTGTTATTTGAAATGTGGCCGTAAACTAATTTCAATGCGATATATACAGCAACACACTATATGATACGTTGCGGCAAAGACGACACGGTATGCGACAATATGTTACATGTAATATTATTTTAAATATAAAAGGAAGATATCGATTTTAGAGATACGAGGGTGAGTAGTGATACGAGGGTGGTCTGAAAAATTTCCCACCTAACAAAGATACAAGACCTTTTTTCAGTTTCTTATTTTTTAACATAGTCTCCTTGTAACGCTACACACTTTTCACAGCGATGCTCCCATCTCTGCAACCCATCCAAATAGTACTCGGCGTTTATCTCTGCAAAATAATTGTTCACGAAGGTGATTGCCTCTTCATTTGACAAAAATCTCTGTCCTCCGAGCGCATTTTTCGCTTGGGGCTAGATCTGGTGATTAAGGCAGATGGTCAAGCAGTTCAAACCGCAATTCGTGGATTTTTGCCATGGCAACCGCTGAGGTGTGAGACGGTGCGTTGACTTGGTCAAACAGGATTTTCTTTTTCTGCAAATGTGGCCGTTTTTCCGCAAGTTTTGCCTTCAGCTTGAGCAAACCCAACGCGCGGACAGCTTTCTCATGTCTACATGTTGATTTAATATGTGACAAACACGTTCTTTCGACATGTTCATAACCTCTGCTATCTCTCTCACTTTAATTCGGCGGTCGTCAAGCACCATTTGGTGAACTTTGGCGAAGTTTTCGTCGATAGTTACAGTTTTTGGACGTCCCGAACGTTCATCGCCTCCCAAGCTCTTGCGGCCACGTTTAAATTTAGCTAACCAAAATTTCACTGTGGTACATAGAATCCAACTCATCTTTGATTTGCGTAAGCGTATTGCCTTACAAAAACAAATATTTAATGACAGCTCGATACTCGATTTTGTCAATTTTCATAAAAACACTCATATCAACTCACGGGCTGGCACTAATGGCACCAAAATGTCTGAAACTTTGGCGAGTAACTGTCAACAGATGAACAACAAAATTCACTAGCTTTTATTCACAAGTGTTGCCATCTTCGAGTTGAGGTCGGAAACTTTTCAGACCACCTGTGTGTATTGTACGTATAAAATGTATAACTGTAAAAGAAAATAACAAACTAAATTTCTGTTGAATTTGATCAATATATTTTACAAAATAATTTCATTTAAAGATGAAAGAAGAAAGAAAACTCTCATATAAATTAGCAGTAGGTTTAATTATTATTTCACGTGAGTATGTTAAGCTTCGTAATAATGATAAAACAACGCTGAGCCCTAAAATTCCACGTAGAGGAGGGAAAGACACGATAATGATTGTAATTTTCTTGTTTATTTTTAATTAATGTTACTCCTGCCGGCTATAGCTCGTCTAGGTTGTAAAAATAATATCATTTTTAGTAGCATTAATTAAGAGTTATGATTTTTTTTATATTTACCACTTAAAATAAACTAGTGCTACCGGATATATCTTGAAGTTTTAGAAAAAAGACTAGTATTTTATGTATTAGATAGGATGAGCCGTTCCCTACTATACACATTGCAATTTTCATTTAGAATTTCATTGAATTATTTTCATATTACAATTTTGTCGTCTTTGAAAATTAGTCGTAGTTAAGAAATTTATGGTGGGCTATGATAATATTAACGCAGAATCATCGTTAAAGTAAAAAATCTTTACCAAATATAAAATCTATAATCAAATATATATGTATGTATATAATCAAATATATGTGGATAAAAAATAAGGAATTATAATGTAGCAGTAGTTAATATTGACAATTATCAGATTCAAAAGCTTTAACACTGCCGGCTAGATATATAATTATACGTAACATAATTAAATTAAGTTGGTTTGTGTACTCTTCAAAAACTCAAAATTCTGCATCGATAGAGCCGCAATTTTGACACAATATACAACCCGCTTCAAAGATTGTTATTGTACGGCTAATATATGTATATATAAAATAATACTGTATAGGTACAATCCAGAATTTTCTATTTGAAAGGTGTGAATTAGCCACATCAAACCTACGCTTTTTTTTCAAAACTAATGATAACTACTTACATAATTAATGGACTTCGTAGACAAATATTGTTAACTATTTGTTCTATCATTTTAACGTACCTGTGAAAATGTATAGTCCAACCTATACAAAGAGTCGCAATATATAATGAGAACTTCAGCCGGCCTCACTGCACTGGCTTCAACGTCATTAGTTAAGGCAGTGCCATTTACTGTCATATTGTTATCAGGCAACACAGTTAGAGAGTCTATTGTTGTGATTCGTATCACTGGGATTTCTTTCGGGCGTTTTAATGCAAGCAACTTGGAGCGAACTCTTTCGGCACCAGCAAAACTGAGGCCACCGACTGGGCGGATTGCGTAGTGCGGTGGTAGAATGCCATCCTGAAAAAAAAATTGGTTAGATAGAAACCCACTCAAAACCAAAAATACTACCTACCTACCTACTCAAACACTTAAGTTAAATCATTTAAAAAGATGAAATAAGAATCGTAAAACTCGGTTGTAGCGCCATCTACCGTTAAAATATGAATAAAAATGATCGAGGGACCAACCTCAATACAAAAAATTATATTGGAATCGAAAACACAAATTATTAGCTTGATCAATTACTACTTTCTGCTAACATATTGCCCTTCTTAGGTAAAAGTTATACTTACATTAACGTACTTGACATCCAATGGTGGTCTTGATTGATAATACAAAAGTAGAATAGCATCAAAGCCTACGCCACATATTAAACCCACTTCGATGCCAAGGCCGAGACAGCAGACGAAACAGCCCAACAGAGGTATTAAATCAGGTCCTAAAAGGAAGATATATTCCATAAAAACAATGAATACTGGCTGCAATAGTGACTGCACGGATGGCGTAGTTGTGGGTTGGTTTCATGTACGAGTATGTTTGTAAAGTCCCCCATGACACAGGATATAATTCAAGTTGTATTTTCATAAAATAAGCAAATAAATAAATTAATAATATCTTGAAATAAAAATAAATAAATGAACTATATCTTAAATTTCAATTTCAACCGCTTTTTTTTAAATCAATCAGCTGGCCTGAAAAAACGGTTTCATGAAGGAAAATAGTGAGTAATCGACATTTTCAGAGTTAAAGATCGCGAGCTCACCCATGGGTGACTACTCAGAATGTAATTGGAATCGAATTCATTACTTGCGATAGGTAACGAGCTAAAATAGCAACATTTATGATGTCATCAATTTTAGTCAAATAATTCTTAAAATTACAGATCCATTATTTTGCGGTACTCAAATCGTCCAGAATCCTCGGATCCAATAGCTATGAACGCGACAAATGTTCAACCGCCAAGATTGGGTAGACTTGGTATCAAGTTACTTGGCCTTTCTAGTAGATTTGAGAGGTTAAAATTGTTTCGAAACAAACGTGCCATCGTCAGTGTCATTCACAGCGAGTTATTGTAAAATGAGTTTGGGTTTAAATTTATTTTAATTTGGATTTACAATTACACTATAAAAAAAAAATTAGCACTTTACAATGGATTGTCTCATGTTTTGAAAACAGTGAAAAACATAATAACAGCGTATTTTCATAAGCTTATTCATCTGAGGCCACATTTTAATTAAAACAGTGTAAGCCTTAAAGCGTGACAACGAACCTACATCGTTTTATTAAAAACTTATTTCCGTTTTGACGGGACTTAAATGAACTCAATTTCATCAGTTTCTTTATTACTATCCATCTACGTACCGGTGATAATACCGCTCTGACGTAAATGAATACGCAGTGGCTCAACAAACGAGTAATTTATATGTATTGAAGTCGTTTATTTGTTACATTATAATACTTTTTTTTTTTTTTAACTTGCCATTCTCCAGAGAAGTCAATGAGTTTGCACTAATGGTGATAGAGACTAAAGTTTAACCCCCTTCACCCTCTCATAGTAAGGCAAGGACCAAGCTCAATACTTGGACAGTTTATGAAAAACAGGACTGATTTAATAATTAAAATTAAACAATAATAGACAACTATTGGTAGGGGTACCAATTTAAATATAATATTTAATAAAATTATTTAAATATACAACAGCTGTAAGCTGTAAGCTTAAGCATAAACATCACTGCAACAAACTGAAGTCAAAAAAGGATGGGTTGTAGCTTTTACAAATAAAATAAGTATTTATTTTAGTTGTATTTGCACAAACCTGACGCTTGCAATCAATTTGCTAGCCGAAAATCATATATGGGAATAAAATAAATTATTTTACAGAATTGAATACATTTTCCTTCTTTAAGTTAGTGTGACTAGGAATAGTTAAATCTAAAAATAAATTCCTTGTATTTTTAGCCATCGAAAAATAGTAAACGATGCGAAGAGCCATATCAAGGCATGGGGCAATACAAAGCGCGAAGCTCAAAAACGAACCTTTGGGTCAAGTCAATTTGTGGAAGTTCTGTGCGTTCACCGCAAAGAAGATACCATTTGTCGTATGACCTCGGTTTGAGAGCACATCCCTAACCGCCTCAGCCAGTATCGGAATCCTAAGCATCGACATATCGATGAAAGTCCAGGTTTCGGGGTCACTTAGAGGGTAAGGTCAAATTGGCCTCGAAGAAGCTCGGTGTGCTGAACAGATTGAGGCAGTATTTCACTCCGGCCCAACGAGTTTAGCTCTATAGCGGCACAAGTCCGGCCGCATATATAATACTGTTCTCATCTCTATGCAGGGGCACTTCAGTACCAGCTTCTCCCTCTGGACCGGAGACAACGAAGAGCGACTCGAATCGTCGATAGCCCATACTTCTCCGATCGTCTCGATCCCTTGGCGTTATGTAGAGATTCACTCAGCATTCTCTATCGCATATATCATGGAGAGTGCTCCGAACAATTGTTTGGACTAATACCAGCCGCAACTTTCCGACATCGTTCCACACGGCAAAATTTTCATCCCTTTCACCTGGATAGTTGGCGGTCCACTACTGTACGCTTTTTCAGACACTTTTATGCCTCGCATAACCAATCTGTGGAATAGGTTATAATCTGCGGTATTTCCGGACCGATATGACCTTCAAACCTTCAAGAAAAGAGCGTACTCCTTCCTAAAATTCTGGCAACGCGTTTGTGACTCCTGAGCTGCTGACGTTCATGGGCGGCGATGGTCAGGGGACCCGTTTGCTCGTATACCCTCGCTAATATAAAAAAAAGGTTCACTGTGGATGAATTCTGTCAAAGCAAAGGACCTAGGACCTATGGACAGTAAGTGAAGTAAATCCGACACATTCCATCTAGGAAAAAAATGGGTAGAGGCATACTACAACTAGTTATTTAAAAATTGGCTTTATTTTCAGTTTGTATCCAATAAACATTTAAATAAATATAAAACGAATATAAGCGATAGATACCAATTAAAATAATGGCGCGGGCGCGACATGTTTGGTACCGACTTCAAAGTTGTAAAAAATAAAATTTACAGACAGAACCTAGAATTAACGTATTCATTTACGTTGATTGCTTGTCATGTCATGTTGTAAAGCGCAGCATAATCTGACTGGTAAAGCCACGTCATGATTCTGGATGTGGTGTACTATATTTCGAAAGTTGTGGTTTCCTTTATACAAATAGGTACCAACCTATGATATAATAATGAAATAACAAGGCTCATGAAACTTATCGACTTATAACTTTGTCTACAAACAAGAAATAACATTTAATTCTTAGTGGTATTACAAGGGTTCATAATGAAGAATTATGGCTGTACACGAAAATAGATATTACTGGGAAGGGTTTAGGTTAAATATTTGATTACCACTAATTACAAATGCTTTAAGAGTTTGAAGGGTAAGATAAAACTTATATACTAATGCAGAAATTAATCCTGATAGAATTTTTTTAGCGGTAACAATTTTTTGTTAAGCATACGTATATATACAACAATAACAAAAAAGAAAATCAAAATAATAAGAACTTTCAGATTTATTTACGAAAAATTAATTCAACTCGACTCAACTCAAATTTCTTTATTTCATAAAATTCCTTTAAAAATTGTTTGAAAGCGTCTTAGACTCTAAAGTCATAGATCAACACAGTAGCAACAATCTGTTTTGTCAAATGTTTTGAAAAATGAAGTTAATCCATCATATGACTGAGAAGTGAGAAGAAAGGGAAAAAAAAAATATTTCCATGGTTTTATAACTATTTGTACAGTACTGGCTGTAATGGGTTTTAATGGTTGGTTGGTTTTTGTTGGTTATTCTTCTCTTTCTTTGTTTGGTTTTGATTCATTTTCGTCAGAGAAAATAATTGTTAATAGATAAAGGTGAAGCGTTTTATCTAACATAAGGTTTTATACTCACTACTAGTTTTCCACAATCTTTTAAGAATAGCTATGTCCACCATGTTTAGCACGGCGCAAACGATGACTGATGCGAGTGCGGCGCGAGGGATGAAGTAGAAATATGGTGTCAACAGCACCAATGTCAGGATTACTATTACGCCTGGAAGTTGAAACATAGATGTATTTATCTATTTATTTTTTTAAATGCAATATAATCGTGACGCGTGCAAAAAAATATTCAGCCACTTAAACAAAGATCTGTACACCATTTTAATAAACCATCAATGAGATTATTTCATACGAATTGATAAAGAAGTAAAAAACTGATTGCACGGATCGCGTAATGAATTAAGCCGTTGCCGCGCCGCTGACTAGTACGCTGAGTGTTGTGGATCCAATCCCCACATGGGACGACAGTTTGTGTGATCCACAAATTGTTGTTCTGAATCTGGGTGCTCTTTGTGTCCGTTTCATGTATGTTTGTAAAGTTCCCCGCGACACAATATATATTATTTTCTTTTGAAAGAGAAAAACCAAACTGTTTTATGGTATAAGCCGATTGTAAGTAACTACCGCCTCCTATGGAAACATGTAGCTCAAGAGTATCAAGATTGATTTCATCCTTTGAGTCCCTGCCCCTGCAATCAGAGGCACGGCAATTTAAATGAATAGAAATAAAGAAAGAATAAAATTTACGTGAATAGCTTCTACGTATTTAATATCACTAACAAGTATCTCTAATTAATATCCATAAATCAATGCATATTTAATATGAATAAATCCCAGACATCAAGAGTAAAGCCGCTATGCCTGTACAATCCGCCCAATTAATATGGGAACTGTTCAGAGATTAACACGAACGTTAATTGCTCTGCCATTACTAAGATTACAATCACGTAGATGTGATAATATACAGGAAACGTTACATTGCCCGAACTGAACCCGGCTCTACATGCAAATTGTTACACGAATAGTTCTACTATTAAAGGTATACACTAGATTTTGCTATATACCACACCGTCGTGCTACACCACCTAAATTTTCTTTAACTTAAACAGGGGTAAGAAAACTTCATATATGAATTTGAGAAATATTTAGTCATTTGAGTAATTTATGGTATTTACATGTAGGTTAGATTTTTCTATTGAAAATCTTGAGAAATAAAATAGGCAAAAATTAAAAGTTCGGTTTGAAACGTGTTGAAAAGTAATATGTATATCGTAACCAATATATTACCCGTTATTAAAAATCAAATCGGAGAAAACTTTTGTTTTAAAACTTGCGACTTCCGAGATCCAAACTTATCCTTTTCATGACCAGAAAAAAATTGCAGTATTGTACCGGTGCCGTTGGTTTGGTTATCAAAAAACACCTACATTACTTTAACCATCACTTATTCAGTATAAAACCAATTTACAAGATAACTTGTTTTACAATAACAATTACAATACGTTATTACATTATTGGTGTAGGCATAAATCATCGAAAAGGTGAGTGCATTCAACACAATGGCGCCACAAATTCACATGACAGAAATATAAAGGAACCACTACTATTTGAAATTCTAAAACCGCGGAAACTTCCCTATGACAGTAAACTAGGATCCAAACTTTAAGATTTATGAAGTACCTGCTTATTGTATTACTCCATTTTGCTATAGTCGTACATGGCTAGATCTGTGCATGTTAATTTTCATATTTAAATTTTGTACGTGCTAAAGCCAGTTTTATAAGTAAGTTAGTAAATATTTCGAGTATCTGCATTTTTAAGAACTAGACAAGGCATTTAGTAATGTTTATACAACGTTAATTAACTCGTTTTAATTTATCTGAATTCGCTAAAATAATATGAAAATATTCGCCTTGCCTATAATTGAGACTTGTGTAAAACACATTCATTGCCCGCTACTTTTAATGTTTTATTCTATAATCTCGTTCAAATAGTGAAAAATTTCAAAATAACATACTCAAAACCTCAATGTTGGTGTTGGACTAACAAAACTCTATTGAGATTCAATTGGGGTGAGTAAATATTCATTGATAAGACCCTGAATAATGTAAAGTCGAAACAGACCAAGTTCCTCAGTTGACATAATATCTACACATGATCTTTGACCTCGGTGGATAGTAAGATTATGAACTTATTTATAGAAAAAATTGAGTTTGAAAGGACCCTTTTGAAAATAAGTTATACGTTGTCTTTTTCTTGCTATATATCAAAATATGTTGTAGGAATATAAAATATCATAAGACACCTTGGACGCGCCTCGCCTTTTTAAACAAATACACTTTAAGTGTTCTTTGATTGTATGAGATTACGAATACATACTACACAGTGCCATGTTTTTTTTTAATACTACTTAATTTATTTCTAATTTTATAAAATATTTTATTACCGCTAGTAAATTAACAATCAGCGAGATATATCTGGTATTAAATACTTTCTCATTTTCCCACTAAATATTTATGAAACTTCTTGTATAAAAGTAAAGTGAAAATGAAGTATAGCGAAGACTCCTTAAATGTATCAGACAAAGTTAAAGTCAATTGTTACTCTTAAAGCTTTTCCGAAGGCTTCCGAATTTCGGAAGGTCCTACACAATGACAAAGTGCCTGGAGCCTCAACAATCGTCAAAACATAATAATATTTACTGCTAACAAATTGTTACAAAGTACATTGAAACAAAGAAGTCGCAAATAGCCACAAAGCGAAGAAATAAGACGGATGTCGGGAAAGTTTTAGCTCAGTCTCTTAGTAAAAAGGCTTCCTAGGTATACAAATGAATATATCCCAATTGATATTACGTGTAACGTGGCAGTTCTTGGGGTTTCTTGGGTTTCTTTGTTTTATTAGAACTTTGTAGATGAACTACTGTTATTTTTGTTATAATTTACTAGGTAAAACTCATTACAATGTAAGAATACGATCTATCTATGACCACGACTTTGTTTATTTGTACTTAGTTAACTTGAATATTGTGTTCTCCCCTCTCTAAAATAGAAGGAAAAAACTTGCTTTTAGGTAACAATAGAACTGGAAACCTGCCTATTTTAATGGGATAGGATTAATATTTCATTTACAATTTTAAATCACTTTGTCGGTTAATCTATGTTGACTGTTATGCTAAATCAATTAGTGTTTTTAGAAATTCCTACTTAAATATTATCACATGCTCCATAACTGAATTAAGAAATATTTAACGTGTTGTGAAATTAGTTTACTTTTAAAATCTCACAATTTTGTTGTAAAATTTACTTAAGACTGTTATAAAATACCATACTATCAACTATTTTCTCACATAGACGAATTCAACCAAATCTTCTGTAATAGACAGACAAGCAAAATAAAAACAGTATATCTTAAACAAATTCAATGTCTATTTATTGCATTCAGCATTTCTCTGTCTTCTATTTCAAGAAATACCTTATTTCTTCGACTTTCTATCCAAATAAATACCTGTATAAAGTCCGGCTCCGGGTGTCCTTACTCCAGACGCTTCGCTTACAGCGCTACGGCTAAAGGAACCGTTTACCGGCATCGATCTAAAGAAAGAGCTGATAACGCTGCAAAATCCAAGCGCCACAATTTCTTGCGTGGCATCCAGCGTTTTCCCTTTAGCTGAAATATAATCAAGTAATCATAGTTAAAGCATTCATACCTATTGTATAAAACAGTTGTTTCATTTGTTTTAACTTCAATGACTTGTTGCAATTTAACTGCAAATTGAGAAATTGTATTCAGAATTGGACAAAAGCCAGTTCATTTTAATATACAGTAAGTTAATTTGTAAAAAATCAATGCAATGTACCAATACTACGCCTCGAAACTTTAAATTTGGAACTACAAACTTCTTATAGTGTCAGCCTTGGATTTTTTCTTGAATTAACATACAACACTTCTTAACTCGTGTGGGGCTTTCATCCATAGGAAAATAAGTAAGTACAAAACACGACCACGACAAAATAATAGCGGTCACATTTTGATAGGTAACGTGATAGATATATAATCTTCTTATCATAAATATGCGTAAAAACTGGGTTTTTAGCACATACTCGATGAGTGCATTGTTTCTGCAGCCGGATCTTAGACTATGAGAGAACATTCCTTATTATTAAATAAAACGTGGGATGTATAATAAATAGATCCAAATGGCCATGTTATTGTATAGATTCTACTAACAGCTGTGTCAATGTATATAATTGTTAATAAAATCAGAAAACTCACTGAATAATAATATTAACTCCACACATCTCACACACGGCAGTCTGATCCCAAACTAGGCAAAGCCTGTGCTATGGTAACCAGACTGCTGATAAACATACTTAAATTTCTAAATGCATACATACTATAAATAAATTATACCTAGACACAGAACAATTGATCGTGCTCATCACACAATATTTGTCGTGGGTGGAAATCGAACCCACGACCTCCGGCTTAGCAATCAGTGTCACTAACCGCGCTGAATGAATCAATCTGTTTATCATTTATATAAGTATCGACTGCACTGACGATGATCGACTGATGATGACTTTTGTACTCAGGGTTTTTACCTTGGAAATTGTTTTTTCTGGTATAACTGTTTCTGTGCGCATTTTTTAATATGCTTCATTTGATTTCGATTTCAATGATTTACAATTAGATACAAACAGGCAGATGATTACATAAAAATCTGGATATTTTATCAAGAGCTTTAGTATTAAATAAATATAAATCCACTCATATCAGCCTTCTCTGCCAAAAAAGACCTTTTGTGAAGATGTCGACATGATTTGTATAGATTATTATTAGAGGTATCAGTTACACTTGTATTAAAAAAGGCTAAAGGAAAGTTAGTAACACAGTATTCTCTCAGATAAATATAAACATTAGAATATTCGTAAAAAAACATTTGTAAAAATATTTACTGTTTATCATTTATTCTCTTTTCATAAATATGGCAACACTCTTTTCGTCAAAGTTAATTAGTCTCAGCAAATTTTTAATTAAATAAGTACTGTCATGATAAAATGTAAATTTGATTCGATGTAACAACATAAAAGGATAGTCGAAAGCTCGTACGAACTTAACCAAGAGTAGTAAATTATTTTTAGACTGTATTAATTCAGTATAATGCCCACATTACAATCGGCGTCGGGAATGGAAATACATAATTAGTAGCTTATCCGTGTGTCCAATTGAAATGTCCAGGTGATAATAAAAGTGCAACGAAGCGCATAAATATATTTTAGAAGTTGTTGGTACAAAATATTTGAGTCGAAGTGAGATATCGAAACATGTTATCCGTTGCACTGAATATTTTTTCTTTTTTTTCCTAATAAGTTTTAAAATGTTAGCAGATACGACCAATAAACAGCAATGTTTTAGCTAACTTCACAGTTGTGAAGTGTGTTTTAGAATATTTCGGTAACATTAAGACCTAGGGTGACCAAACTTTATTAAACTATATGTGAGCGAGAACAAATGAAGAAACAATGACAATGAACAACTTTAAATGAAGAAACAAAAACTTTTTGGTACATGTAATACCTGGAGAATAAATTGAATACTAGTGTTAAAAAATTTATAATCCAATCGTGAAAATCGATGCACCAATGAACTCACATAGCGAGTGGCTGCTTACTTGCCTGCCTGCCTGATTTTTAAGCCAGAATATTGGGTAAACGGTCGGTAAGAAGTATTGCTTCGAATTAGATGGACTAGTATCTTTACGAATGCCATATCTTTAATTATTTAAACGGTAAAAATATAAAGCTTCAAATACACTTTTAAAATAAAGTTATGTGGTAGTAAAAGGGTAATAAATTATTCAACTTACCGAACGCCTTAGCAATGGCGACATTACTTAATATTCCTATCATTGGTACAATGATAAGACCTGTGCCGAGGTGCGACAACATTTGGCCAGCAGTATAAGTTCTGTTCCCTACTATTGTTTCAAATGCAGGGGGTTGAGGTGTCGGAAGACCTGGTGTTACTTTACCTATTGCATAGATAAAACGTGTTATTAATAAATGCTAAAATATGTTTATAAAGTAAAAATAGCCTAAACATTTTTTTTTTGTTTAACTATATTCTTTTGTCCCACAGTGAGAGAGGCCTATGTCCAGCAGTGGACTATCAAAGGTTACTGGTACTGTTGATGATGATGAATCTTAAACCAGCTTTTTCGTAAAGTTAAAATATTGCAAGGTAGTACAGTTGTCAGTTACATAAAAATCATAGTTTATTACCAAACTTAGTCGGTGTCGGTCTTAGAAGTAAAAGTGATCTTTTTCAACCCTATCAAACAAAAATCACAGTAACAATCTTTGGACTTTAACAGTCTTAATTAAAGCTACAATTTTTTTTTTAATTTATAGATATAAACTGTGTTCTGTGTTGGCAATTATACCTGACCACTTTATTTCCCGTATCATACAATTACCATTTATCATATTTATTATTTACAGTCACAAAGCCAGAAAGATGCTTGGATTTGATAGTTCTTAACAGTGCCTAGTTTTCTTTATAAAAGCGTAATGAAACATTTAAAATAATTTGTGAAATCAATATAAAAACAAATGATACTGTTTTCCGTTCCTCAAAACGAAATAAGGGGCCCTCATAGGATCACTTTGTTATCCGTGAGTGTTATTGTGTGTGTGTATGTCAAGTTCCTTTTTCCCAGAAATACAAGTTCAAATACCATCGCATTGTTTACATCAACAGCCTTTAGTAATCCACTGCTGGACATAGGCCTCTCCTTAGAATGGAGGATTTGGCCCACTATACCACGCTGGTCAGCGGGGTTGGTATAGGGTTTGGGGTGCTGGGCTAGAAAACCTCCTCGTGGTGCACCCTGGAAACGCTGGCGATGGTACTGTTTCCTCCTTGTCCTCTTGGAGGAGAGGATTATCGCCAGCGGCCAATATTCTAGCAGAAGAGGTAGCCGTTCATCGGCTCTCGGGCAAGGCCTGGTCCAGCAGGGTGGGCGTGTCTGCCGGTTGCCCTGCTGGCTCTTCGCTCTTCGGAGCATGGAGGAGGAAACCTCGGTAAAAAACCGGATGGTGGGGCCCTATAGGGGCCACAGTTTCTCCGCTGACAGCGGTGGAGAAAGGAGGACGGGCTCGGCGTGTACTCACACTACCACCGAGCAGGCAGGGGGACGTAGTCTCCCTGTCAACCGTCGGCATATCGTAATCCCGAGAAGAGCGCTGTGGTTAAGTCTCGCGGCTCTGATCGGGGGCGAGGGTCTTGGCTTAACCGCCCGGACCGCGAGGAAGATAACCTCTCTAAAAAATTCCCCGAATCCCGTGTTCTGGTGCGTGGCCAGGGGATGCATGGCTGATGGGAAGTTCAGTCGCGAGCGCACTCCAAGCCGAGGTACCTGCGGACCCCTCGGTTGGGTTAAAAACTTACGCTTGCCCGGGTAATGGGGGATCTCTGCCCGGGTGGACCTTTTATTTCTCCCCCACTCGTGGGATTATTTATGAATATGAATACTGATAAAAATACAATGAAACGGACACAAACGGAAAACAAACAAAAACAGGCGAGCAAAACGGACACTGCAACGAAATGTGCAAGGGAGAAGAGGAACAGTGGAGTCGATGGGTCGTCCACTGAAGGTGAGGTGGCGTCGGGAACGCCCATCTCGGTGGGGCTCCCAGAAGTCAGTCTGACTCTGATCTCTGGGAGCCGAAGAGCATCGGATCGGCTGCGTTCCGGATCCGCCGCCTCGTCGGATGGCGCGGAGGCCATGGAAGCGGAACATCGCAGCGACAGCCGAAAACGCGGACGCTCAGGGGACGTGGAAACCGACACGTCCCAGGAAATGATGCCACCAAAGGTGGCAAGCAGCCGCCGAGGGAGGGCACGCAAAACGGCCCCGGTCTCGACCCCGTCAGGCTCCGCGTTCTCAAACGCGGAGTCGTACAGGAGTGTACGAGTGGACGGCGAGGCCGTAGCGGAGGAGGAGATCGCGGATCTCCTGCTCAAGGTTCGGGAGCCGGTGGGGGAAAATGCCCCCCAGACTCCCGTGTCCGTGCAGGAGAGGGCGAAAGCGGCGGTGGCCGTCATCCACAAGGTGGCCACCAAGTCCGTGAACCTTAAGGGCTCGTTTGTGAGGGCCCTTAAGGACTCCTCCTCCGCTTTGTCGGAGGTCGTGGAGGGCCTAGCGGGCGACGTCTCGCGCCTACAGGTGGCCAACGAGAGGCTGACGGAGCGGGTGAACGAGCTGAGCGCTCAGTTCGCCCGCTTCCAGGCGGACCTCCCCGAGCGGGAAGCCCCGTCCGCGTCCCAGCCTGCCCCTACCACCAACTCAGGGGCATTTGACTCCCAACTGCGAGAAATCCTCATCGCAGTTGGGAATATGCTGGACGGACGCCTGGCTGGCCTGGAGGCGAGACTGCCCCCTGCGCCGATTATGCGCCCCCCGCTCGCGTCGGCACAGCGGCCTAAGGCCGCCGCTCCGACCGCGCTCCCCGTAGTGGGAGGCCGCGTCTCCTACGCGGCGGCGGCGTCTGCCCCGACTCCATCGGCTCCCCAAAAGCCGAGGAGGGGGGCCAAGGCACCGGCCCAGGCGCCGGCCAAGGCACCGGCTAAGGCGCCGGCCAAGGCACATCCCCAGGCGCCGGCCAAGACGGGGCCTAAAACGGCGCCGAGGAGCGGAGTGGCATTCCCTCCGCTCCCCACTCCGACACCCCTGCCGGGCCCCTCCGCACCTGCCCCCTCCAACGAGGGTTGGCAGGAGGCGAGGGGCTCCAAGAAGTCCCGAAGGCGGGCCAAAAGGGCTGCCAAAAAAGCAGCCCAAGCCACGCCTTCGCCACCGGTGGCAACGGCCTCCACAAAGAGGCCGCGGAAGCTGCAGCCGCCCAAAACCGCGGCTGTAGTGGTGACCGTGTCCCCGGAGGCGGCTGACGGCGGGCTGTCCTACGCGGCCGTGTTTAAAAAGGCCCGGGACAGCCTCGCCAACGACTTTGGGACGGCGGGGGTGAAGATGCGCCTCGCCCAAACGGGAGCTCGAGTTCTCGAGTTCCCAGGGGCTGAAGGCGCCAAGACGGCGGACACTTTCGCTGAGAGGCTGCGGGGTTTATTCGCGACCACAGATGGTGTCAAGATCGCCAGGCCTACCAAGTGCGCGGAGCTGCGCATCTCGGGCCTGGACGACTCTGTGACGGCCGAAGATGTCCGCGCTGTAATCCGGGAGAAGACGGGGTGCAGCGCGGACAACGTCAGGGTCGGCACCATCCGCCCCGGTTCAGGAGGGCTTGGCGCCGTGTGGGTCAGCTGTCCCGTAGCGTCGGCCAAAGTATTGGCCGACGCCGGCAGGCTGCTCGTCGGTTTCGTGAGCGCCAGGATCACAGTCCTGGCGGCGAGACCGATGAGGTGTTACAAATGCCTAGCATCGGGGCACACGCGCGTCAAGTGCCAAAGCTGCTTCGACTGCAGCGGACTTTGTTTCCGCTGTGGTCGACCGGGGCATGTGGCGGTGGAATGCTCTGCCGCCCCTCACTGCCCGGTGTGTGCGGCGGGTAACAAGCCCGCCAATCATCAGATGGGGCAGGGGGGCTGCAAGCCTCCCCGCATCTCTCAGCAAGCATCGGGGGCTAGCCAGTCGACCCAGGCTGCCTCCGATGTAGTTCATGCGTCGACATCGTCGCCCATGGAGGAGGCTGTAGAGACGATCCAGTAATGGATCGGGTCTCCAGCCTCCTGGTCCAGACGAACCTGAACCACTGTGCCGCGGCGCAGGATCTCTTCCTGCAAACCATGGCACAGTGGTCGATAGGTGTTGCCGTAGTCGCGGAGCCCTATTCTGTCCCTCCCCGTCCAAACTGGATGGGTGACTGGGACGGCTCCGTGGCAGTCGTCGGTTCCACGACGGCTCATTCCCCGCCCTTGTCGCTAAGAGACAAGGGCACTGGATATGTTGCCGTCGAGTGGGGGGGGATCACCATATATGGTGTCTATTTCTCCCCCAACCGGAGTTTGAACGACTTCGAGGTTTTCCTAACCAGCTTGGAGACCTCGATACGGCGACTAGCGTCTGGGCACGTCCTTGTGCTGGGGGACTTCAACGCAAAGTCCATTGCGTGGGGTTCCCCCAGGACGGACGCCAGGGGCGAGGCCGTAGAGGAGTGGGCGGCCTCGGTGGGCCTCTGTCTTCTAAACAGAGGCTCCACCAACACGTGCGTGCGACAGCAGGGGGGGTCGATAGTGGACCTTTCGTTCGCTACCCCTGCCCTCGCCGCACGAGTAAGGAACTGGTGTGTCCTGGAAGAGGTTGAGACGCTCTCGGATCACCTGTATATCCGATTTGAGCTCTCCCGGACCCAGGACTCCAGTAGGGGTCACGTGGCGCGGCGTTTATCCCGCTTTCCGCGGTGGGCTGTTGCCAGGCTGAACCGGGACCTACTAGAGGAGGCAGCCATAATTCACTCGTGGCTGTCTCCTCAGGCTCCGACCGAGGAGGTCGACGTGGGGGCTGGGCGCTTTCGCGATGCGATTACGCATGTATGCGATGCGGCCATGCCCCGCGTTCGAGGTCGTCGGCCTCCAAGGAAGGAGGTCTACTGGTGGTCCCAGGAGCTGGCGGACCTCCGTGCGGCCTGTACACGTGCCCGGAGGTCCTACACGCGCAGTCGGCGGCGTCACCGTGGAGACGGTGAGGAGGACCGGCTTCATGAGGAGTACCGACGGGCGCGGAAAACTCTGAAGCTGGCCATTAGCCGCGCCAAAGAGGAAAAAAAGACAGGAGATGCTGGAGGGTCTTAATCGTGACCCCTGGGGTCGCCCTTACCGCGCGGTGCGACAAAAGCTCCGCGCGTCGGGCCCCCCCCCTTACGGAGACTCTCCAGCCCAGCTTCCTGCGAGAAGTGGTTGAGGGCCTTTTCCCACAACGAGCGGAACACACTCCCCCGTCGATGGCCTCCCTGGCCGGAGACGACGGGGAGCACGGGGAGGACAATGTTCCGCCCGTCCGGGATTCGGAGGTAGGGGCGGCTGTTCTACGGATCCGTTCCAAGAACACCGCCCCTGGGCCAGACGGGGTACCGGCCCGAGTGCTGGCCCTGGCCCTCAACCACATGGCAGACCGCCTCGGGGAGGTGTTCGACGCTAGCTTGGCGTCGGGACGCTTCCCTGAGTGCTGGAAAAGCGGGAAGCTGGTCCTATTGAGGAAGCCGGGACGGCCAGCCGATTCGGTCGCGGCCTATAGGCCCATCGTGCTGCTGGACGAGGCGGGCAAATTGTTTGAGAGGGTTCTCTCTGCCCGCATCGTCCGGCACCTCTGCGAGGTGGGCCCCGATCTGTCGGACGCCCAATTTGGTTTTCGGGCGGGGCGTTCGACAGTCGACGCCGTTTTGCGCCTGAGGGCCGTGACCGAAGAGGCCGTGAGCTGTGGCGGCGTGCTGTTGGCGGTGTCATTGGACATCGCCAACGCATTCAATAGTCTGCCATTCAGCTGCATCAGGGAAGCACTCCACTATCATGGGGTGCCAAAGTACCTGAGGCGGCTAGTGGCAGACTATTTAGAGGAGCGTACCGTCGTGTACGAGGACCGAGAAGGTAATCTGAGGTGTCGGCCCATGTCGTGCGGTGTTCCACAGGGGTCTGTTCTTGGACCCCTCTTGTGGAACATAGGGTACGACTGGGCCCTTCGCGCCGATTTCCCCCCCGGGCTGGGTGTAATCTGTTACGCAGACGATACCCTCGTGACAGCCCGGGGGGCAAACTTCCAAGAGGCGGCGCGCCTGGCCACAGGGGGAGTCTCCCTGGTGGTCGGGCGCATTGAGGCGCTGGGCTTACGGGTGGCCCTAGATAAGACGGAGGCCCTGTTATTCCATGGGCCCCGTCGTGGTCCACCCCCTGGCGCCTCAATCGTGGTCAACTCGGTCCTCGTACCGGTTCGGGCCCAGATGAAATATCTGGGCCTGATCCTCGACGGGAGGTGGCTCTTCGACGAGCATTTCCGACAGCTTGCTCCAAAGCTGGTCGGCGCTGCGTCTGCCCTAGGGCGACTTTTGCCCAATATGGGTGGACCCAGCGTCGCGACAAGACGGCTGTACACGGGGGTTGTCCGGTCAATGGCACTGTACGGTGCACCGGTGTGGGCGGCGGCTCTGACCGCCCAGAATAGGGTACGCCTCTGGCGCCCTCAGAGGGTAATGGCGGTCAGAGCCATACGCGGTTACCGCACCGTTTCGACGGAGGTGGCGTGCGCGTTGGCCGGAACTCCCCCGTGGGATTTGGAGGCGGAAGTGCTCGCCGAAGTTTATCGGCGAGTGGCTGACTACCGGGCGGAGAGCGGATTTCGCCCTCCGCCCGAGGATGTGCGCGAGTGGCGCGAAGCCGCTCGCCGAGCCACGATGGCTCGTTGGTCGTTCCGGCTGGAGACTCCACGCGCTGGCTTCGCCGCCGTGGAGGCTCTCCAGCCGGTCATCGCCGAGTGGGCAGGGCGGCAGCACGGGACCCTTTCCTTCCGGCTGACGCAGGTGCTTTCCGGGCACGGTTGCTTCGGAAAGTACCTGCACACGGTCGCTAGGAGGGAACTGAGTCCCGCCTGCCACCACTGCGACTGCAGTGAGGACTCGGCCCAGCACACGCTGGCGGTCTGCCCCGCATGGGCGGCGCAGCGCCGGGCCCTCACTGCAGTCATCGGAGTGGATCTTTCGCTACCGGCCGTAGTACGCTCCATGGCCGGTAGCGACAGTTGTTTTACCGCGGTCGCAACCTTCTGCGAGGTAGTAATCTCGCGGAAGGAGGCGGCGGAGAGGGCCCGGGAGGACGACCTCCACTCGGACCCGATCCGCCGCCGGCGAACCGGGCGGCGGAGGCCCGCCTACCACAGCCTCATGCCGCCCTGAGTGTGGCCGCGGGTGGACGGGGTGGGTTTCCCCTCCACCCGCATTAGTTTGGCCAGCCGCGAGGGGGCGGCGTCCGCGGGTGCCGGACGTCGCCTATAAAGAGAGGAAAACATTGAGACGGAGCCCGCACCAGGAGCGGGCTGGCGCTAGGAGGGGTCCGGATGTCTTAACAACAGCTGTTCCCGGATCCCTCCTGTTACAGGCGCAGAGTGGCACACCGTTGTGGTTTTAGTCGGTCCGAGTCCGACACACCACCCCGCCGCAAACCCCGGAGGGGTGACGGTCCGAGGGGATTTCCACACGTTAAAAAAAAAAAAAAAAAAAAAAAAAAAAAAAGGGTTTGTTTCCAATTTTCCTTCTCTTTTGCAGTACTGTGGTCCTGCGTAGTTTGCTTCCTTAGTCGGCTCTTACGACACCCACGGGATGTATGGGGTGTGACACTCCGCATTTTTAATCCGTCACCACACGGACATTCGAAGTGTTACGTCTGCGGTATTGACATGTGGAATGGCAAAGCAAAGTTTGTTACTTGGAAAAAACGGGAAATAATCTTCCAAAACCAAGTAGGTACTGTATAACAGTTAATACGATTTCGTTTTTGTAAGGCTAGCATACCCTTATAGTCTGTTGATGTGCGTGAGACCCACTAATAGTACCGCGTGATTTTTATACACATATTATTATACGATTCAAGCGAAAAGAAGATTCAGTTAACATACATTTTATAGATACTCGTTAAAGTGACTGATGCGTGCAAAGGATGTGAGCTAGAGGATACGAAATAAGGAAACGTAATAATGCGTGTTCTCTTCGAATGCAAAAATAAAACCTATATTCTTCTGCAACTCAAGGCTAACCACTCAAAACGAAATCTCGATTAACTACAAAAGTAGGCAAGGCGACAATCGCTAAACGTTAAACGTCTGATGAAAGGTCAAGGTTATAAACACTGGCTGGATAAAAATATAAAACACTCAGGCGCGTTTAGCACATAGCCGCAAAAATAGTCGATTATCATTTACTATACACACTTGGAATACTTTGATGTTCAATTACTTTAAGATTGTCAAATATTATATTTCAACTATCATCAATCCACAAGTTTGCTTTCAATCTGTATTAAAAATCAGATAAAATCTTATAGTTGAGGTATTTCTTTAATCAAACTTTTCTTATTCATTTTTGTAAGACACTAGGAACGCACTAGGAACATATCCTGTGTCGCGGAGACTTGTACAGACATACATAACACGACACAAAGATCACCCAGCCTCAGAACAAACAATTTGTGGATCATACAAATTTTGTACCCTTTTTGGGGAAACGAACCAAATAAAAATATTTGGTCGATCATATATAAAAACAAAAATTGCTGAAGGACCAGGGGGTTGGACAGGGGGGGGGAACAGGGAAAAAAGCAAGTTTCCCCGAATAAGGTATGAAAGGGGGAGCCCCGAAACCCCCAACCACCCAAGGGTTTAGCCCCAGAAGAAACCGGCACGTCACAAGAGGAAAAGTTTTAAGCTTAAAACCATTAAAAAAAAGAAGAAGGGAAATTAATCAAAAGGAGGTTTTCAAAAGCCCCTCAAGGGAAAATAAAAAGAAAGAGCTCCTACTTGCCCACGTTTGGGGGGGGTTCAAGTGCAAAAATTTTTTTAAAAGTTTGGTTTTTAAATAGCAAAGGGAAAAAGAAAAAAAGGAAGTACAATCAATTTTAGAAAAAGTTAAAGGTTGAAGAAAGGGGCGGGGAAGAAACATAAAGAACGCAAAGGTCAAGAAAAAGGCTTCCGGGGCCAAAAAGCCAAACAGAAGGAGGGGAGTTTTATCAGGGTTTTTTTTTTGGAAATCCAAAGGGGCCTGAAAAAAACAAAAAAAAAAAAAAACAATTAGTTTTTTTTAAAGGGGGGTAAGAAGGCAAAAAAAAAAAGGGGGGAAAAAAAAACAACAAAAAAGGGGGGGGGAAAAGGGTTTTTTTGGGCCCTGGCCAGGGAAAAAAAAATAAAAAAGACACAAAAAAAAAAACATGGGGGTTTTTAAATCAATAAAAAAGGGGGGAATTTTTAGGCAAGACAAAAAAAAAACAAAAAAAAAACAAAAAAAGGAAAATAAATTTAGTGGAAATACAAAGGAAAGGTTTAAAAAAGGGAAATTTAATCAACGGGGCCCAAAACAAGGGAATTTTTTTCCATAAAACAGAAATTTTAAACCATTTTTTAAAAAGGACAAAGGGTAGGGCAGAGGAGGGAAAAAAATACCCCCCAAGGGGGGGAAAAATGGGGGGGCCAAAAGGGGAAACAAAAGGGGCTAAAATTTTGGGGCAAAGGCACAAAAAGGGAAAGAAAAAAAGGAGAAAAAAATTTAAAAAAACCCCAAGGGGATACCAAAGGACTTTTTTCGTTTAGAAAATAAAGTAAAAATTTTTTAAAAGGGTTTTCCCCCCAAAAAGGAGTTTTTTTTTTTTAAAAGGTCAAGAGAAAAATTTTCCCCAAAAGTAAAAAAAAAAAAAGAAAAAAGCCCAGTAACTTTAAAAGTTTAAAAAAGGGTAAAAAAAGGGGGTGGGAAATTTTTTTAACGGGCCCGAATGCCAAAAAAACCGGGGTCAAAAAATGTTACAACTTTTTTTCAAAAAAAAAACAAAATAAAAGGAAACAAAAAAAAAAAAAAAAACCAAAACCGTTACCGGGTTTTGGAAAGTAACCAAAAAACAGAAAGGAAAAATTTTTTTCCCTTGAAAGGGAAAAGGGGCCGGGCAAAATTATGATTTAACCCCCCCGGCAAAAATAAGGGGAAAAATGGAAAGGGGAAAAAAAAAACGTCGGGGGGGGGCATTTGAAGGTAAAAGTTTACAAAAACTAATAGAGTTCTTGAATAAATTATGCTCCAATTTGACTTTGATTCGAATTTAGTTAACAGATTACTTAATAGCAACTCTCAGAATAATGTAATAGTGAATTATGATAAAACTTACTCCTGTATAATCTTAATTGGGTTTTAATAGTTCCCTCATCGTTGATATTATCGTACACAACTAAGTGAATTTTAGTTTGTAGAGGTTTAATAAACCTATGTATTGCTAAAAATATTAATACTATTGCTAATTGAGATCATGTTTAATATACGCCTGTGAACTATTTGGGGTCACACAACACGACAATATGCACCACAAAACTCTGCACTTATGAATTTGTCGGCAAACCGAATGTTGCGCAGCTATTCTTGTAAAAAAATGTACTGAGCATAATACATTTAATAATACATTTACTATACTGTTTGCTTAAAATATTAGGCTACAGACAAGTAGGTAATAATAAAATATAATATATTTAATTCAGAATTGTAATATATCTGTAACCATTTCCGAAAGGTTAATGTACACGTTTTAAATACTAAAGTGGCAAACAATTAAAATACATTTGACGCTTTTGGTAACAACTTCGGACTTCTAGAATTATGTTCAATATTTTTACTATTAGGCTGCAGGAAAATAATGACATAATTTCTTCCATGCAGTTTTAACGCTCGGTGTCGTTGATTTTTTTTTAAATAATAAGTAACTTGTTTTATTAATTAAGATAAAACATACTAACCTAAACATTGTTTTCTGGGCACAAATATACCATTTCATTAATAGGATCCACGAATTTATCCATTTTTGTATATTTGTCAACATGATATATCAACGAAAAAGTAATTTCAAATGTGTGACGAAGTGAATTTATGGCAGAAAAAGAAATTTGCAGGCAAAGGGGGAAAATAAAATGTTTTCTCCTTGTTAAACAGTCTGTCGTGTTCAAGATTTTCATGGGGACGATAAATTATCATTTAAGTAAACCCAACACGATCAGACGATTCATTCCTGAACATTTGAAGAATTTAAATTTATTTTATTTCTTCATAAACATACAACACCCTTATAATCATAAAATTGCACCAAATGACAACTATTTTACATTATTACGGAAATAACAGAACAATTTTGTACCATGCAATGGCTTTCCTTCAATTAAATTATCTATTTCCCAAGGTCTAAAACAAGGACAAATCTGCACAAAAGAACAATAAATGCGATGATTATTATCTAAATTACATAAATGCAATTGTAAAACTGTTATCTGTTTCTGTATTCAACTATGTATGTAAGCATACGAAATGCTTCTCGATTTTACTACGAATCTTTAAAAATTATAGCTATTTTACTGTTCTTTATACAAATTTCCTTAAAGTTCTTTCCCTGGTAACATGAATGTCAGTAGTGCACTTGGCATTTCCTCAAATTTCTTCTAAAATCTGAATTCTTTGAAATTACTTGTATATATAGAAGGGAGTTACAACCCGTAACATAGTCATTGCATATGAGTTTTACACTAAAAAAAGTAATATTTTAAAATGGGGGCCTCTCTTTAGCAACACCGCGCCTAACAAGTCCACAAAAACTAAATAAATGTTTTTTATTCCATTAATTGAGGTGTATGCGTGTCTATAAGTCAGATAACACATTTTTGTAGTGTAATAGAGGACCTTTCATGAACTTTCAAATATAAATCTTTTTCACACATCCATCGCAGCATATGTTAAAAATATGTTTTATGCCAATTAGGATAACACGTCAAGATCAATCAGTAGATTGCGTATGTAATACATTTCCGTAGTCGATATGTAGTGGAACAAGCAGTCCTTGTATTTACTTTGTACCGTAGTTTGGGTAGCTGCGGCTTTGGCAGTTGCTCACCGCAAGACGTGTTGCATTGAATTATAGTCTAACAAACATTACATTAAATGAACTAACTTACTATGTTATATAATATATTACTGTTTCAAACACCATAATTCAAGCATGAATAGAGTCTGCTCTACTAAAAATATAATATATAGGGTAGTTGCTTAACCGTTTCCGGTTTATTAGTTTTTTTAAAGTTTATATTGGTTCTTGTGAGATATATTTAGATTTAGGTTTATAACACACTAGCGGACTCGCGTAACTTCATCTGCATCTCTCAAAAGGAATACATTTTTCCCCTTATTGCAACATTTTTCATTTTTTTCATTCATACATTGATTCCCGAGATTTAGTAAAACTAACGAACAGCAATTCATTTTTATGTATAAGAATATATGTGTTATTGTACATAACAGTATTATATGCTAACACATCTGTTACATGTGGCTTGTCTCAAATATACTGTTATAGTATATTCAATTAAGTTTAAAAGAAAATATTTTAGGTTTATATACACTATCCAAATACAAAGTTTAGAAAACATAATTTTTAAAAGTTGACCTTAATAATCTCAAACACAAGTGTTTTATGCATTCTGATTCACATTCACCGTTAAATCTTAAAAAACCATAGGTAACATAACTTAACATAAAAAAGATTTATAATAACTTCAATAGTTACCCGCAGTCCCATCAGTACAATGCAACATGACAAGCTGAGCAAAGTGTCAGGCATCCTAGTTTGTCCAATATGCTTAAATAGATTTTTCCACGTATCCATGAACGTGTCAGCACTGAACTTTAATCCGAGTAAACCCTTTATCTGTGCTGAAGCAATAGTGAGAGCTGCGGCCGATGTGAAGCCTGATACCACCGGCAGTGACACAAACTCCACTAGAAAACCTGTGAAATTGAGAATACTTTATTCGAAATGTGACAAAGTGAAATTACCTTTGTAGGTTCTCGTACATAAACATCGACTAGTATTAAGAAATAAGTTGCCCCGGGCCGGGCCGAGTTTTTACAAGTGCCCATAATTTTCTACATCTAAATACTACATTTGATGAGAAAAAATTCTGATCTTACAAATAATATCTTTAAGACATGATTATACTCTAAAACGGCTACTGCTACTAAAGAAAATTCCTGAACTGCTGACTTTGAAATTCAAACTTGTTAATTAGTATGTAGGGTGTAAGGGACGTCATAAAGAATACTGAAATAGTGTATTCAGACCACCATTCTGAGTCGAAAATCATTTGAATTTTCTGCGCGAAAATTCAACAATTTTTTTTCCATATTTGTGGTTAAAAATGATATCACAGTGAGTTAACAGAACATTTTACCCAAATAATTCAATAAATACCGCATATGGTCGAAAACTGCAATGTAAGTTATCAAACAGCCGCCATCTTGTGTTAGTCCGTATAGACTGTTTGTACGGAATACAAATATAGTTATTACTTTTGTGCCATATCTACGGGACCTTAATCTTTGACAGCTGATTACATAAAACTTTAAATTTTCCGGCAAACAATTCCAATGATTATCGATCCAGAATGATGGTCTGAATACACTATTTCACTATTCGTTACAACGTCCCTTACACCCTTTTTTTTTCCCGTGCGGAAATCCCCTCGGATGCCACCTATCGGTGGCATGTTGGACTCGAACCAACTTAAACCGCACGCCGTCTTGGGTACTAATAGCCGGGGAACCAGGTATACCCTTCCCTGAAAGGAAGTCCCTGGTGCCCCGACATACCTCGGGCCATCTACAGACGAGTAGATGACAACCCCCCCCCCCCCCCGTTGGGGATCCCCATGTTCCCTCTGCTCCCTGGAAGCGAGCGCGCCACCCCGGCCTGCTTCTGCTAGGGTGACAGATGGCCTCACCTGTCACCCCCAGGCCTGCGCTTATGGAGGACGGAGGTCGTTCTGCGACCTCCGGCGCCTGAGTCGCCTGCGGTACCTGGCCCGTTCCCTGGAGAGTTCTAAACCTCTCCCGGTCACGCTCCGCTCTCTCCTTCGCGAGCATAACTTGCTCGCAGAAGGAGACGGGAGAGTTCCACGCACTCTCGCTCCGCACGATAGCCGCAATCAGGCTATCGAGCGAGAGAACTCCCACTCCGATGGCCGCCACGAGGTCTCGCCTCTGCTCAAAGCACGCCGGGCACTCTGCCAGCGTGTGGAGAGCCGTGTCCACGGTCTGGTCATCGCAGTGGTGGCACTCAGGCGTTGGCTCCTTGCGGATCAGACACAGGTGATCCCCAAAACATCCTTTCCCAGTGATCACCTGCGTCAGTCGGTATGAGAGGGTCCCGTGACGACTGTCGAGCCAATCCTCCATAACGGGTCTTACTGCCGCGATGACGGCGTGCCCGGACGTCCCTTACACCCTGTATATCTCTATCTAGACTCGAAACTATACAGAGTTTGTACTATGGCTTCTAAAACAATATTTACTAAACTGCCACGATCTAGCGAATTTAATCTTTCAGGATTTATATAGTATAAAATTAGGTCACTTTTTTTTCTAGTACTACTTAGATCTTTTAAACTCCGACTCGGGTTTTAATACGATTTTCACCAATGGAGAGAATAAATCAAGAGGCGGGTTTCAAAGACTTGTAATGTGAAGTCGTAAAAAAACATGTTTCTGTTCGCTTACATTGCTAACACTGGCTAAATTTTACGAGATGCATCAAAATAATGTACTACGAAGTTACTACGAATCTACAAAAAAGTCTGTGATGGTGCATGTCTATCTCCTAAAGATAACTTACAGTAACCATTTTTATCTTTTACAAAAAGTAATGGGCAATTGACGAAACTATTTTGAATAATACAGTATTATTCCTTATCCAAATAAATACATTTAATCTAGAATTTTTCAAAATTGTCTTTTAAAGCATATCATTAAAATGAATATCTTAGCAGGAATCTCACCCGCGACCTCCAACATGGCAGTCGAATACTACCGCCGCGCTACAGAGGTCGTCAAACATATAATTAGTTTTATGAGGATATTTCTAGCGAAACTCAATGTTTACTTCAAAGTTAATAAAGCCAGGATAATAAAATTATAATATAAATGTTTTTATACAAAGCAGTGGATCGGAAATCTTCTTATTTGCATAATATTTATAGGAATAAAATAATTCGGGGTTTCTATTTTGATTTTATGAATACGAAATTAGTTGAAAGAGAAATAAAAAAATAAATAGTAATAAATAGTAGATAAATCACAAGTCACAAGATTTGTGACAACATTAAACTACTGGGCTGTAAAAGAAGCTATCAAAGGTTTAAGTCACTAATTACTAAAGTAAAACATTAGACATAACTAGCCTTATAATAAATATGTAAGTAAAATCGACTAGTGGCTCACTAAAACGCACACTCTTACGACTCATTTTAGAGAGCTCTTCCTACCACAAAGTGTCATAGTAGTAGTAAAGTAGTCATACTCACTATGAGCATCATATGGTTTTATTCTTTAACTGAAATAAGTTTCTCTTACAAAGCGAATGGTTTTTTTTTTCGGTTCTAGTTTAAACTAAAATAAACGCAGTTCAGATGCTGACGCTCAAAAAACTGTTTAGTATGGGCCATGCAAGTGTGTTTTTAAATCAAAATACGGATTTTTATATCCAACAGGCAATCTTTACTAATATTATAAATTTGCAAAGTATGTGTGTCTCTTCGTTTGGTTGAATACGCTTAACTCAGGAACTACTGGTTTGAAAAAATCTTAGAATTAAAAAAAAATCCAATAGGTACTTTTAGTGTTGGATAGCCAATTTATCGAGGAAGGCCATATAACGGTCAATGAAAAATATCGCAAAACAAATAGTTTTGGGTTTTGAGCTAGTTATAGATAAAGTTGGTACGTTTATTCTTACCTAGTTGCGCAAAGCCTGCTACCAGTTGAACAATGCCCGCCATCAGGCAAAGAAGTACTGCAAAGTCAGCGTTGGTTCCATTTGTGTATGTGAATGTGAGGAGCGACAGTAACGCTGAAGGTCCTATGTTCACTTGAGGGCATGTCCCCATCAGCGCGTACACAAAACCTCCAATGAAGGAAGCGTATAACCCATACTGTAACAAGGATATTTTAAATTTTTATAATCTGATTACTCTATCATTAGAGTTAACGATCTAGTTTAATTACACACACACATAAATATACACATATACTTACTCAGTGGCAGACTAAACACCCATATTTTGCAAACTATGAATAGATACAACTCAAGTTGTAGAGAACTACTCTATTGCCTGGAACCGAAAATGAAACCTCCGCCAACATTGAGACCTAAAGATGGGCAAATTTAAAGAGGCAACGAAAGTTAAGGGTCAATAATAGGCTAAACTTAACTTTCATTACCCCTTTAAAAGAGGCGTGCGGTTTTTAGTTAGAAAAAAGGGTTATTTATAGGCTATTTAATAAATATATATAAATATACCGTAAAAAAATACTTCTTTAAAGATACCAAAGAAAACACAATAACATTCGATTAAACATGCAGTTGGAAGAAACATTAAGAAATGTGGTAGAATATTAATTTATTAATCTGTAAACGATAACCTTCCCATTAGACGTCACTTGATCACGGCAGTTATGTATAAGCACTTAGGCAACTAATGGGACCACCACGCTACGTAGCGCTTTCGGATAGTTCTTCGAGGCGCGATCCTTTGAAGCCATTCAGAGAAACCGTATAGTAAAATTCATGTCCAGAGTTGACCGGTGTAAGAATACCATTCTAAGAAGTCTCTCAGAAAGAGTATATGTAAGGACTGGATCAAAACGGCAGGATAATTCTTTTTTCTTTTGTGTCTTTGTATTTTTGGTTTGTAGATTTGTTGTTACCGTTGTTTTTTTGTATTTTACTTATGAATCTTGTGTCCGTAATAAAGCTTTAAAATTATTATTTTTTTAATATAGATAAGCACTTTGTATTTTTTGTATGTTAATGCATCCAAAAGATGTTTGATAGTTTTGTTATCTGACACACGAAATAACATATTCAAACAAGCATAGTATAGTACAATATTTATTATTAGTTTTAAGTATCTAGTGCTACGTCAACAATTCTTGATCTTTTCTAGCTCACTTAGTGGTTCACTATTCAGTCTTACGGTTCCAAGAAAACTCTAGATCTAAAGAGCAAATCCGAACAAACAAATCTGAATTGATAGCCTCCTCAAAATGCAGAACACATCAAATTAATCGATTTTAAAACTGGTTTGTTGAAACATACCGTTTCGCCAGACGGTTTCAAGGTCAAGAGCAATTTCCAATAGGTACTTTGCTGATCACTCGGTGTATAAGTGTTTAATTATTTTAGTATGAAAGATACATGTATCATTATCTAGTGCGCTAGCACTGTGCTACTCGTATGTGAACCTAAACGTATCTGCGAGTAAGGTTAGACAGAAACAAAACATATCAGGAGACATTTGTATTTTTCTCGTACTTATTATTTTAAGTCCTATCCACTAAAAAGAGTACAGCCAAATCAGTTGAATATATGTACCGATAACGTTAACGTCCTCCTGTTTCCCATCAGAAGCCATCCTACAGTGATATCGGACGCTGGCCCTAATGCTATGTCTGTTATCTAAGGACATAATATTAGGGCCAGAGTAATCATAATAATAATGTTCTAGAATATTCTACCACATTAATAATAAACATCACCACCAACATAATAGCTAATAGAAAGTCTAATAAATATCTTGAAAGAATACAACTAAAGTCTACGTGATTATATCATTGAAAGAGTTATAACCTAACGCCTAAAGGTCAAGGAACCTTCCATTATCAGCTCAGCAAGATGAGATAATGATTATTATCAAACGCAAATAGCCGTACAATAGCTTGAGAAAAAGATGAAACACGTTGTACGAGCCTATAAAATTTAATGGTTTCCACTTCGCAGAGCTACTTTTAAATTTAGTAAAAAGTTGGAGCACTCGAAAAAAAAGAAAAAGCTGTGAAATTTTCTCGTTACTTCGTTAGCGTTAAATTGGATCAATCGTGCATGATCATAAATTATGCACAGCGACTACACGACAGTACCCGTCTAACGAAACATTATTTCTTACGAATCAAATTTTATATTTATAATTTGCTATTTGCTGTCCGTGTGGTGATTGATTAAGAATCCTGAGTGTCACCACTCCTATTTATCTCGTGGATGTCGTAAGAGCCGACTACGGGGCCACTGCAAAGAGAAGGAAAGCTTGAAATAAACCCTATACACGTCTGGCCAACGTTTTATTTTAAGCTAAAACCTCCTTTCTAAGGAGAGGTCTATATCCAATAGTGGTAGTCCACTACTGAATGACCTCTCCTTAAAGGCTGCTGATGATGATCAAGATGTTGCTTATTACGTAGTTTTCATTAGAGAGTTATAGGGCCCTGACTTTCTAACAGCAGTTAGTTCGATATACATCATGTTGCGACCCTGACTCTCACGAGCTATACTTACAGTCCCTTTATAAACGAAATCTATTTATCTCTTAACATCCTCAGTTAGGTAGAAACAACTTCGAGGACGAGGTGAACAGAAGAATTTAGTTGGGTTGGGCAGCGTTTGGGAAGCTACGTCGAGTCTTCTCATCGACGATCCCACACTGTCTTAAGACGAAAGTCTTCAATGAGTGCGTCCTACCCGTCATAACATACGGACCTGAAACGTGGACACTTATGGTACGGCTGGTAAACAAGTTAAAAGTCGGTCAACGTCCTATGGAAAGGGCTATGCTTGGCATTTCTCTAAGGGATCGCATCAGGAATGAGGTGATCCGGCAGAGAACCAAGGTCACCGACATAGCCTACCGGATCAGCAAGCTGAAGTGGCAGTGGGCTAGCCATATTAGTCGCAGAACCGACAACCGTTTGGGAAAACAAGTTCTTGAGTGGAGACCGCGTCTCGGCAAACGTAGTGTAGGACACCCACAGGCCAGGTGGAGTGACGATTTGCACAAGATGGCTGGCAGGATCTAAATACGAGAAGCCCAATCGATCGAAGTGGCGTGCAATGGGAGAGGCCTATGTCCAGCGATGTGTAATGCGACTTATTATCTGCCTTGAGAAAGGCAATGGTTTCAGTACCTAATAATTTTGAGCCAAATCAAATCCACCAATACCAATCATTGTTTGAAACTGAGAGCTACTAAAAAGGAAGTCTAACAATCTCGAAATTAAAATAATTTGTCTTTCGTTGTTGTAATAATTTGGGATTTAAATTTTAAGATAATCTAAAGTGGGCTTTCGCAAGTCGCAAGAGAGTGAATCGCAGTTCCAAACGACTGTATTTCAGTTTTATTATGTACTTTGGTGAGACGACAAACTGAAGACGTACACAGTAAAATGTCCAACTCTCTGTCAAACTCAGATAATTTATCAGCTCGAGGGCTTATTATCTAGGTTAATGTGATACTTATCACTGTTTTTTATTCTTTGATAAAACAAAGGCTTTGGAGGAAGGAAATAATATTTAAATTGAGACGGTCATAAATGCAATATTCTCTCATAACAGATAATATATAATACATATTTTATAATGATAATGATTATTTGTTTAATTTTGCGTAACTGGCGGAGGATGTACAAATATTATTGAATTAAAATCAAACATTGACTCACTGAGGGTTATCAAAGCATTTATAGCAGTGATTTATGTGATTATATTGATAAACAAAAACTGGTCGTATCCACTGTTTTTTATCTTAACCCTATCGCTTAAAAAATGGACCATAAAGGAAAGTCACATTGTATATTAAAGTCAAAGATGCATTTAGACATGCAAATTCGAATATTTTACACAAATGCTTCAGTGAATGCTTCTTTAAACGAGCAATTCTTGTAAATATGTATATAATAATATATATATATATATATATATATATAATAATATATATATATATATATATATATATATAATAATATATATATATATAATAATATATATATATATATATATATATATATATATATATATATATATATATATATATATACATATAATCTGAATCTCGGAAATGGCTCAAAAAAATACGCTGTACGCTGAAGGTATGGGAGCTAGACCGAAAAATGTATAACAAGACTTTTTTTCGGCACTTTTTGCTATAGTGCAAGTGCGTCTGAACGCAGATCTATTAAACTAAGCATTACATTTTGATGCGGTTTTTACCATTGTGATTCAAGGGGCAGATTTATATGTATAATACATGTATTTTATAGTAGAGAAAATCAGAGAAATTCAAATATTTGTGATAAAAAACATGTTTTTGTGCGCTTACATTGTAATTGCTGGCTAAACCTTTTAATGTAGATTAAAATTGCTCAGTACATCATATCATTAAAATGAATATTTAAGAAGATATTAGAGGTTTAAAATGCGGGGGTAAAGTGTCCGTCGCCGCGTTCGCCGTCTGGCCGTATGCCCGTCTCGGGTGGCAACGGCCAGCAGGAACGGAGCGGTATAAATACTAGCGGTCCGTCCCGGGGCCGCACGGGTGCAATGTAGATGCTACTAATACTACTAATGTGGTGTCAGTGTGGACTAATTTATTATATTATTATTATGATAAGACTACACCACAGGGTTCATCGATTACTCCGTCAATTGATGACCGATGCCCAAACATTTTTTTTAGTAGAAAGAGCATAGTAGTAGGTGGTTAGTCTCATTGTCCCGAAGTCAGGATCAGATGAGGGGATCGCAGGGAAATCGAGGGCAAACCTCAAATTTTATAGGCACGTATTATGTGATTCATATATTTTCTAAAGTTATTCTAGTATTTGCGTCTGGTACTCATTATCTCGCGTTAATGAGCTGGTGATGGAAGGTGTAACTCCTTAACGGTTAGGACATTTATTATAGTTCTTTAAATACTATATGTATGTTTAGACTTTTAGTTGTATTCTTTCAAGTCATTTAGGTGAGCTGATGAGGGAAGGTAAAACTCCTTAACGGTTCGGAGTTAGATACTACTTTAAGATGCCGACATAGTAACCTGTAATGTACAGGAAAGAAACGACATGTAAAGCTGAGGGTTGGATAAGAAACCTCCACTGCATACCTAGCTTGTTATAGTGTTCTAATTTAAATATTTACAATTAGTCTTAATCGTTGTTTTTTTTTGGCCTTATGTGGCTCTAAGTCGCAAAGAGCAACACCATCATTATGCCATCTTTACGCGACTTAGCGCAACATAAACATTGCCTTTTGGGAATTTTATTATTGGCGATTAGCAGTAGCATCCGTTCTACATCCAAGTATTTTTAGCTGCCTTATAGGTTTATCAGATTTTGCTTTTGATTTAGTCGCAATAGTGTCGTGAGACCTATACATGTATAAGTTTATAAAAACTTGTTTAAAAATTAAAAAAGTTCTGAATCGAGTGAGTTCAAACTTTAACACGATATACAACAAGCTTCAAAGATGGTTTTTATCAATTTTTGCTACCACAATGTGCCACAGCGAAGCGTGCCAAGGAATAGGTATATTTTATAAAAACTCACGGCGAAGGGCAGGCCATTTAAATTTGGATAAGATACTTGGACCAGGCCCTTAGGTAGCAGAAATATTGCGTCTCAACATAACTCTGAAGCCTATGCCCAGTTTTAATACGTGCATCAAACCACCACAGTTTTTCGCATCAGCAGGAATAACATTTGAAGGTGATCGTTTGCTTACCTTTAGTGACTTATATGAAGTAGTTCAACCTACTACGTACCTATGATTATTTACATTAAAAATTGAAAAATAAGCAATTTTAAAAGAATTGAACAAAGAAATTGAACCGAACCGAACCGAAAACAAAACATCAAACAGAAACTCCCTAAACTCTTACATAAAAACACTGAAAAGTGAAAAATAAACTGATTTATTTATATTATTAAAAAATGTGCGACTTTTTCTCGGTAATTAAATCAAAAACTTTACCTAAAACTATAACTTACCTATTCTCAATAAAATTGGTAATGAAAATATAATATAGTTTACAAGATAAAATATCACCAATAAATAATACTAATAATAATTGAAGAATACCTGTTAGTAACAAATTACTTCTGTTAATCGCATTATTCTAGTTTAATTTCTTTCATTTACATTACTAAAATATACGTTTAATAATCATATCTCTCTTAGAATAGAAATTCTTGGCACTCATAATGTTGTGAATGTCAATGATATGATGTAGAGATTAATAATTAATTTGGCCGATCTGAGCATAATAATTAACTTGGCTTAAATGTTTGGACATTAAATATTATCTACATGAATGGGAACATGCTTAAAATAAAGTATTTACTGCTAAAATTTGAGAAGCAATGTCTATATTTTCAGTAAACAATGTTTATTTATTTATAATACGAGTATGTGTGTATTCTGTCCGTGTGACGGATACAAATATCGTCGATGTCTTTGTAATAGTTTGGTAAACAGTACATTTTAAATTTGTAAGATAATGATATATTTAATTTTCCAGGTGTGGCAATGTTGTTGATGACCTTTATTATTATTATTATTACATCGACAGTCCATGGACACTGTGAATTAATGTTTTTAGAATACTGATATTTTGACCGATGTCAATGACGTCTGAATGGCATCTAAATAGCGTGTCTATGGAATGACAGTGGCTTGGCGTTAACATAAAATAGCAGAATTGAGGCCCAGGTATTAAGCAATTTAGCATTAGCAGTTGTATTAATATGTTAGCACGACGATTTATTAAATTTAATTTGAGTGATCTGAGAGTATGTGAAGCGTTAACGAATGAAGCTACAAAATTTCGTGTACGTATTAATTCATTCGTTCACAAAATTTCACGACCACAATTAATTTGCTAACTGCTAATTAAGAATTCACAATTAAATATCAGTGTGAGGACTATTCTATCACTACCTTCTGCATCAGACCCTTGATCCAGCCGTCTAACATGAGCCTCTTAAGGTGTTGGTCGAGGCTCTTATTGTTAGTTTCTCAGCAAATATCATTTTTTAAGGTTTGTATTAATATAATCGAATAAATTCACAGTAGACACGATAGAAAAATCATGAGCAAACAATTTAGACGTACTACATGTCCGTTCATGTAGAACGTTTGAGGTCAGCGGTAAATGAGCGTAAATTTTGTCAACTGTGCAAGATAGATAACGTACCTGAGGTTCGAAGCCAGCGAGCGAAGCGTAGGCCATCGACTGTGGTATCAGTGTGAGGGCTATGGTAATACCAGCTATTAAGTCCCCTGCTGCCTGTCCTACATCGTAACTCCGTGACCATCGTAGTATAGGGAATAAACCACTAATTAATCTTCTTGGATTTGGTATTTTCCTCATGCTTGAGCTGCAATATATAACATTACAGAAATCATATAAAAAATGAAAAAAAAACAAACGAATGTGAATATATTTCATTAAGGTGAAAGAGTAGATTAATAATGAATATAAGGGGGCGTCCATTAATTACGTGAGGGCTTTTCGGCGATTTTATGACCCCCTCTCCCTGGGCCCCAATTCCGCTATTTTAATATTGTATCAATAGAGTGTCGATGGAGTGTCGTCGGAATAGTTTGGCACTTTTCGTAATCTGCGAACTAAGTAAAAGACTTATCACTGATACAAAATGTTATCGATGTCTGTGAATAGTTTGGTAAACGGTAGTCTACAAATATTGGACAGAATTGACAGTTGTTTCAATGACACCACGATGGTTTCAGGGTGAATAATATTATTTTTAAACTACCGTTGAACTGCCATCAAGCAGTCACTGCCTTTTTGTGAGTGTTAGGTGCGTATTTAGTTATTTACGTTAATTCAGTAGATTAGTAATAAAACTGCGTAAACAAATCTGCTTTAGCTCGCAACTTTACGAAGGCAAATATTAGAAGCTGCTCGCAACAAAGATCGTCGAGTTAAAGAGATTCGAAATCGCCGACAAGCTCGTGTTTGTCGAGACAAAGTGATAATATATTGGACATTATATGTGAGGACACATTTATAACAGTGTTAAGGCGAGCAAAAAGTCTATTAAAGAATACTCGTATATCAGCATTATTTCTTCAGATAGAGGTAAAGTAAACAAAATAAAAACTAATGTTTTATTAGTAATTTATGTATAATAATAATTATACATTTTAAAGCAGCGGCTTAATGAATGAAATACTTATTATTGAGTGCTATCAAAAAAGGAAAAGTAAAAAAAGAACATAGTCATAACTTTTTTTTATTTGAGGTAAACCTATAGGTCATAGATGTTCAATTACTGAAAAAAAAAAGGAGATGTTACTAAGACATATAATTCACAATATTTACTTCCAAATATGGCAAGGGAACCACAAGGGCACAACATTACGGACACTTTCTAAATGTTTCCCCAACATCTCTGTCCATAATATAATATAACCACTCTTATAGAGGTGTCAAGGATGCAACTGTAAACAGACGATGGGCTACTGTGCAACTTCGCGGCACTCGCAAAACCACGATAAATATTATTGTATAAGATTTGGCCATATTTCCGTGGAGAAACATGTTTTACTTAATTTAACCCAATTTTCTGTTTTTACTAACTCAATTCTACTTTGTTTCTTGCGGAAAAAAATTACGTGATATTTGGCGAGACCCCCCTATCCCCAAAGTAAGATTAGATGACATTCAGCTCGACCCCCTCCCCCCTTGAACGCCTCACGTAATAAATGGACGTCACATTACTAAAATGTAACTATTATGTAATTCATTTCCTGTTATCAAAATGTGCTAATTATTTAATATCATTATTATCCTATGTTACATAAGTCTACAAGTGTTCGCAAGCTACGCATTTTGAATAAATAAATATATTCCAAATTTCCCGAATTTTCAAACAGGATTGCAGTGATCGTCAACTAAAATAAACCATGAGTGCAAGGATTACTCACTTTGTATATTAATTTGCAATGCAATGCTATTAGATACTCTAATTTCTTAAACGCAACATACTAAGCGTTTTTAATCTTATTGTTTCATCTATTAAAATGTTTTTTAGTTTATTATAAATCAATGATAAAAGTATTCTAAAATATATTTTTTCTTTCTTTTTAATAATTTACATACCGTTGATAATATTGTTCCGAAACCTACTTTATAAATAATTTAAACAATTACCTTATACACCGATATAATTTTCAGAATTGAAATTTTGCAAAATAAGCAAGCAGAGCCACTCCCAGGGCCTCGATTCTTGGGCACGCCGTCATTGCGGCGGTAAGACCCGTTATGGAGGATTGGCTCGAGAGGCGTCACGGGACCCTCTCATACCGATTGACGCAGGTGATCACTGGGAAGGGATGTTTCGGAGATCACCTGTGTCTGATCCGCAAGGAGCCAACGCCTGAGTGCCACCACTGCGATGGCCAGACCGTGGACACGGCTCTCCACACGCTGGCAGAGTGCCCGGCGTGGGTTGAGCAGAGGCGAGACCTCGTGGCGGCCATCGGAGTGGGAGTTCTCTCGCTCGATAGCCTGATTGCGGCTATCGTGCGGAGCGAGAGTGCGTGGAACTCTGCCGTCTCCTTCTGCGAGCAAGTTATGCTCGCGAAGGAGACGGCGGAGCGGGACCGGGAGAGGTTTAGAACTCTCCCGGCCCGCCAGGCCCGGGCACGGGCCAGGCAGCGCAGGTCACTCAGGCGCCGGAGGTCGCAGAACGACCTCCGTCCTCCATAAGCGCAGGCCTGGGGGTGACAGGTGAGGCCATCTGTCACCCTAGCAGAAGCAGGCCGGGGTGGCGGCGAGCGCGTTGCGAAGCGCGCTCGCTTCCAGGGAGCACAGGGAACATGGGGTTCCCACACGGGGCGGGGGTCGTCTACTCGTCTGTAGATGACCCGAGGTATGTCGGGGCACCAGGGCCTTCCTTTCTAGGGTATACCTGGTTCCCCGGCTATTAGTACCCGGCGAAGGCGTGCGGTTTTAGTCGGTTCGTGTCCGACATGCCACCGACAGGTGGTATCCGAGGGGATTTCCGCACGGAAAAAAAAAAAAAAAAAAAAAAAAAAAAAAAGGGCCTCGATTCTGCTATTTTATGTTTACGTCAAGCCAGTGTCATACCACTGACACGCTATTGAGATGCCATCGAGTAGCCATTTCCATCGGTATAAATATCGGTAGTTGAAAATATATTACGTTTTTTGAGGAAATGATTTATTTGTTTTTATTATAATAAATTATTAAAAGAAAGAAATAAATTAAAATAAATTATTAAAAAAAGAACTAAATAAATTATTAAAAAAAGAACTAAATAAATTATTAAAATAAAAAAATAAAAATAAAAATCATTTCCTCAAAAAACGTAATATATTTTCAAATTATAAGGAAATGACTTATTTATTTAAAAAAAAATATTTTATTTTATTTTTTTATTTTAATAAATTATTTATCTTTTTTTATAATTTTATTTTTTTTAATCACTTATTTATTTCTTTAAATAGTTTATTTATTTATTTTAGTAATTTATTTATTTATTTTAATAATTTATTTTAATTTATTTATCTTTTTTTTTTAATTTTATTTTTTTAAGAAGTTATTTTAGTTTATTTATTTCTTTTAATAATTTATTATAATAAAAACAAATAAATCATTTCCTCAGAAAACGTAATATATTTTCAACTACCGATATTTATACCGATGCCAATGGCTACTCGATGGCATCTCAATAGGGTGTCAGTGGTATGACACTGGCTTGGCGTAATAGCAGAATTGAGGCCCAGTTCTGACTGCACGTTGCAATAAAAATATATTATATTTCTGGTTATTTTTCCTCCATTAGATTTTAATACATTAGTAGTTTAATACAATTTTTGTACTTAAAATAATAATTACTTGAAAAGGAATTTCAATATTATGTATATAAATAAAATTGTTCAAGTATATATTATAAGGCCCAAAACTTGAGAATGATTGGACCGATTTGGGCTTTTTTTTTTAAATAGCCTGTCTTGAGATTATTTTTATGAAAAAAATAGAATTTGGTCGTTTATTATTATTATTTCTTGAAGAAATAAATATATTGACAGATCGATATTTGACCGGTCAACTTGTAACTAATAACTATTCTGTTAACTTACTGTTTATAAGTCGTAATATTCCTCCATAAAACTAGTGCTGAACTTTTATTTGAATGTTTTTTAAGTGATTTCTAATGATTCTGTTATTGTAAATTGTACGTAGACTCACAGTTATACTTATAAATCTTAAACAAGACTGATTAATGGTATAATAAAATATTAGAACAGTTGATAAAAAAAAAGTATTAGATATCTTCTTACGCAATAATCTACACAAAACGAACTTGTATAATAAAAGTAAAACAATAAAAAATTGCCGATACAACTGATGTTTTGTATGATTCTACTTGACAGCTGCCATCAACCTGCAAATGTTTACTTATCAAGATAATGCAGGTCGATTTGTAGGAGATTGACTACTATCTAAATTTCACATAATGGCAGTAGTAATAACCAGCTAGTAGCAGGACACCACGTAAGGACACAGAATGTTTACTTGCCATGACGGCTGCTAATAATTGTTGTTTTCCTTACAAATATAAGCGACGTAGGTAAAAAAACGAGTAAGCTGAATTAAAAAGACGAAAACAAGATGACCTTGAAACATAAAAAGATTCTATTCGTAATAAAAATAATAGTCGCTCCAAGCATCACTATTATTATATGTTTTAATAATTGATGAGCCAGCTGTTTCACATCCTGTCGATACCTATAGAATTTAGTTCTCTTATAAGCTTAGCTTCTCTTATAGCAACATTTAAAGAGTATACATTATAATTGCAATCTAAGTAATTCTGTAAAAAGCCTAATATTTTTCGCAATAGACAATTAGTTAATGTTAAAATATTAAGATTTGCAAACATTGCAAGGAAAATTGTATGAGTACAACAAATTATAGAGTTATTAACGTTCATTACTTATAATTCATGTCATATTTGTGGCAGGAAGGTTAATGAGAAATATCCTCAGTACTGAATTGAGTTGTTACTCTTAGCGAATATGCGACTTGTTGTCTCGTCCACCATTAACAAACAATGATTTTATTGATATCCTATAAGTGAAAAGAGAAAACATATTTTTGTTCTTTTATTACTTCTCAGCATTTCTTTTCATGTGCATAATCTAGTTGGAAGTTTCACTGTGCGCCTGTATTTTTGGCCTAATGAAACTATTGAGTATGTTTCACGTATGTGTTTATCGATAAAATTTAATCATTATAAATATAATCCGTGTGGTGACGGATTAAGAATACAGAGTCTCGCCACTCCTATTCATCCCGTGGGTGTCATAAGATTCGACTAATGGAGCAATTTACGCAGGACAACAGCACTGCAAAGAGAATTAAAACGTGAAACAAGTAACAAAGTAGGCCGAAATCTAAGAAGAGACCTATGTCCAACAGTGGACTATTGACGTGATGTGATGAACCTAATAAAATATTTAAAAAAATATTAACAGAATACGTTTATCAGACCGAATGTTTGAATTATATTGATAGGAGGTTTTGAGAATAAACGTACAACAACTGCTGTAAAATGTGACCCCACACAAAGTGGGTATCAATACTATACCGTCAAGGTAAATTATAATTTGATATTGAATTTCATCTGGAACTAGCGTGTATTGTCTGTCACGCAGATTTTTTATGGCAATGTATACTGATTGCGTCACTTACGCGGGATTTCCCTAGTTGTTCATGTTAGTTTTTACCATAGTATTACATCACAGACTTTACTCAGCAATATATTAATATAAGAAGCGTTAAGTTAACATGGCCATATATTCGTTGTCATCTTTAAACAATTTTGTTTGTAGCAAAAGTAATCAAACGCAATCAAGATTCTGGAAAAACCGAAAACATACAATACCTATATGGGTAGGTACCTATATAGGTATAATGGCAAAGTGGTGCTAAAGTTATATCAGTTTTTAAAGTTAATTATCAATATCAATGTCGAAGTAATTAGTAATTGTATTACTTAGTTGTAATTGTAATAGTAATTGTATTACTTATTAATTAGTAATTGTATTACTTTTGTGTGTGTGAAATTTGTGTTGAAACTAAAAGACTAGACTAATAAGTAATAATGACTAATTAAGCGATTGTTTGAAATCCCCGATTTAAAAAAAGATTTTATTTTGTGACTTGCGTGATTTAATTTCTTGCCAAAGTAATTTTTTCGGCTTTTTAATTTACTAAAGTCCTCTGTAAGACTTGTAATTAAGTTTTGCAGCTAAATCAGCTTCGATAGAAAGTATTGCTAAAGCTGGCAGTCAGACCTACTTGATACTGTTTCTTAGGTAGTTTAAAACATTTTTAACCTAAACTTTCCCTGTGGTGACGGATTAAGAAAACGGAGTGTCACCACCCCTATTCATCTCATGGGTGTCGTAAGAGACGACGACGTCTGAACAGCATTACAAAAAGAAAAAAAAACTTGACACAAACCCTATAATAACCCGCAACCAAAGGCTGTTGATGTGAACTTAAAAATACTTCTTTCTGCGGAAGCTGTACTTACTAGTAAGTGAGACACGTCCCTTTAATAAGATTCTATGCCCTTGCTTTGTTCATGAAGTACTGCACCTAAATCGTTAGAATGCTTAAAAAGCTCGTTATTTGGAAAAGATTTTAAACTATGTCAAACAAAAATCCAAAATTGTTGTAATATTCAGTTAATGCAGCAAATCCTCTATAAATGTCTTGTATTACGTTTGAAGAAAGGAAGAGGTTGTCTATCGGAGTCGGCAAGAGTAATGTAGTCTTGACATTGTCAACGCTTTGAACCTCCTCCCGTGGTAGGTGATTAGGAAGGCATTAGTGTATCACCAGTTGCTCCCTTACCTGCGGGAAATCTTCAGGGCTTATTTTCACGACAGGGCCCTAACGTAAATGTATCGAGACGGCGAAGAACGGGCACCTCCCTTACAAGTAGGGTTCCCCAGGCGTCTTTCCTAAGACCTCTTTTGTGGAACCTCACGCATTCTGCAGTCCCAATAACTATTCTTTCCCTCGAAGTAAATGTCGTCTGTGACGCGGTGGTTAAAAAAAAAAAACATTTTATAGTAGAAATGCGTGGGGTGCTAGATCTCAATTGTTGTAAGAATATTTTATTGATAGATATTAAATAATAAAGTAAAATAAAAAAAAATAAAAAATAAGTAAAGTTATTATATTATTTATTTATTTATCTCTTTATTGTACACCATTGAAGTATTATTTATACAGGTATTAAATACATTTCGGTATAACAATGGGCGGTCTTATCGCTCACGGCGATCTCTTACAGACAACCTTTATACGGATATTGTCAAAAAAATAAAAAATGCGATGTACTATTACAACAAATATATATTATAAGTTATCTTAAAAAGCAACCCACACTTTTTTACGATAAAATGATTTTTCTTGTTGAACTCATAGAAAATTATTTTCTACTTTTTAGTTCGGCTAGTTACAATAGCGTGTTTTTTTAGTTTTTTAAAATTATATTTTATTTTTGCTTTTTTAGGAATTAATGATGATTGTTTTCTCATTAAGAATAAAAAAGCAAAAAGTAAGTAATCACATATGCTTTAGCACTCGGCTCTTAGTGCATAGCAAAAGACACTACCGTATTTTGGGTTATGGAATTATGGGTTATTTTCAAGTAGGGAAAAAGCCGTTAATCTTGAAGATCCTGGTGAGGATAATCAGCCTAATTTATTAAATTATTGTATTGTTGTCAGTCCTTGAAAAGTATTTATTTCGACTTTTTAAGACGTTTTAAACGTCGTTTCGTCGTGGGTGAAAAACACGTTCAAAGATTCCATTACATAGATACATACACATCAAGCTAAAAGTGCGTGTTAATACAGATATACTGATACAATAAAGAAGAAAGTAGACTGACTTATCTCACACAGTTATACTAATAGTCCAGTAGCGGGCCATTGATAAAATTAATCCGCGTTTATACGTGTTTTTGCGTCATATAAAACGATCTCCTTGCATAGAAATGATAAATAAAATGTATTTATTTAAAAATGTATACTTATACTTTTGCATTTTTGTAAATCAGACGACATTCAGACACAATAAGATAACTTTTATTTGATAAAAATGGTTTAAATATAGTTTTGTTTGACAACAAATGCAGGAGGATTAATTTTAAAAGAGTGCTGCAGTATTACTTGCAAGATGATCTGCATTATAAAGCATCAAAGCCCGGTTACTTTTAGTACCGTAATACTTTATTTTTACTGCCTGTTTATATTAATTTTGAATGAGATTTGCCCAAATAACCGCAATATGGGACTTTTCAAAAAGGATGCAAAAAGGTCTTTTCAGGGTCTACTACTATCAATAAAGGAAATTGAAAGAATGGTCCATCCTTATAATAAATTAACTGTTTACTACTTATCGTATCAAGATTATGAATGAGAAATCCCAAAATATTTTGAGTAGCAGATTGAAAGGTGACTAGCCAAAAGAACTCCTATGACCTACTACTTACTCTATCACAATAGAGAATTTACGAATGGTAAATTTCTATCTTTCTTTCACCTTGGAAAATATATCAACATAAGAACAAATCACAGATTTCAATTCATGCCTAATATGTGAATGATTTAAATTAATAGTTGATATTTCTACAACTATTGTAGGTATATAAACAGTAAAATTACTGTATAAAATGTGTAAAATTAAGTAAATGTAAAACTCATCACTGAAGTCGAACATTATTAAAATCACCTACAATTGTAGTACAATTTAAAAGTAAATTTACATACCCTTTGAATACAACACTACGCTCAGAGTTATTTAAAAATTAACTTTTGTATGAATCACCACAACAATAACTAAGGCGATTTGTTACAGGTGTATTGTAAAAACAACAACAGACAACAAACATATTCTCCCGCCTTTTTTTAACATAATCGCGCACACGTCGCAAACTTTTTCAACCTGCGCATTCGACCACAGCGTTATTCAAACTGCCTGCTTGCAGACTAACAACAATCTCACAGTAATTTAATTTTTCCCGTCACGGATATTGATTAACAATAAAGGTGACAAACTGTCTTTATGAGATCAATTGACAAAACTACGCTAAACAGCTATTAGATACCCATTTGTGCACCCATCATTACAAAATAGATTTCTTGTTAAACAACGGAATAAACATGAAATTACTACGTCTCATTGTTGTCAGTATCATTATCATCTAAGCCATGGAACATCTACAGCTGAATAAATCTAACAATGGGAGGCCATGCAGCGTTTTTTATAAACTATTTATGTGTGTTCATTATTAACAGTGTTTTAATGATAATCATGTGATATGTGACATCACATAATCACTAATGCTATAACGAGGGTCAACACTTGTAAATTATTATGAGGAAAAAGCCTTTTATCACGGTGCTAAGAAGATATTTAGCCTCATCCTTATAAGTTAAGTCCTTCTTTTGAAGAACAGGCTGTGCAAGGATTGTGAGCACGATTTACACTGATGATATTACTAGTAAATCCCTTAGTTACGACGAGACTGAGAATCTTTTGCACAACATTTCCTGAATTGGCCAATACACATACACACACAAACACATACACACACATTCCACTTGCACACGCACACGCGAACATACATACACTAGCACACACACACACACACTCTCTTCATAAGCTTACCAATTCTGCCAACTGGTAGCAATGTTCACACTAGCTCACCGACACCCAAGACATCATCCCCAGGCTGGTAATCTGTCATACAGGTCTCCTAGTACAGATGCCTGTCTCTAACAAATAAATGTCTAGGTTAAGCTTCTTTTATTCAATTTTGTACCTATGTGAAAGAGAGAAATGGCATTTGGTTTGTGGTTTTGAGATGGAGATGCCCGATGATGTATGTCCGCGCCTTGCCGTGTGGAAACTCCTATAATCCATTGAGCTTCCCACGCGGAAAATCAGAAGTCATATTACTTTATGTAAGTACCAAATGTATTTCCCTGTTATTATTATTTTCATTATGAAAAAAAATATTATAGAGAATCAATATATTATCAAATATTTTACTTAGAATATAGCATTTGTTAAAAAGGGCAGTATATGCTTATGCTGAAAAATGGTATATTCTATTACAGGTCACAACCATATACTATGAAGTTTTATATTTAATTATATCTCAGAAAGAAGAATGTTATTTTCTTTATGTCCCATTTTGACATTGCATCGACGTATTAGAGTTTCTAATAACTTTCTAAAAAATAGGGTATAAACATCATCAACAGCCTTTACTAGTCTACTGCTCGACTTAGGCCTCTCCTTAGAAATTAGGTTTTGGCCTCCTACACCACGCTGGCCAGACGGGTTGGTATAGGGTTTGTTTTAAGTTTTCCTTCTCCTTGTAGTGCTGTTGTCCTACGTAGTTTGCTCCCTTAATCGGCTCTTACGACACCCACGGGACGAATAGGGCTGGTGACACTCTGTATTCTTAATCCGTTACCACACGGATGTGAATAAAAATATACAAAAAAAAAATCTGTACCTGTGCATGTAAAGGTCTGTAATCGTGGGCCCATCCATATTTATAAAAATGTAAAGTTGGTTTGGGTACGCTTCAAAAACTCTTAAAGAACTTTGCACCGATTGAACTCATTTTTTAAAAAATAATATAATATATACAACATGCTTCAAAGATGTTTTTTTTTCTATTTGAACCACATATGCCACAGCGAAACGTGGCTTCAGTTAGTATTTAAATTAGTTTATTTAACTTAGCTTTCCACTAAACATCATACGTCGCCATTGGCCTCAGAACCAGCAATGAGGTTCGTCAAAGGCAGTCAGTCGTCGGCACACACAAGACAAAAACACTACTTCAACTTCAACTTTTGTTTAATGGCTTTGTGGTAGAGTGTAACCACAATTTCGCCAATGTCATGTATTTGAAAGACAAAAAACAAAAAAAAAAAACACTACAGAAGCGGTGGGTATGGCAGCCAACGACTGCGGTCCATCGTCGGTCTCCTTTTCGTCGTAGACTGCAAAACGACTACAAAAAACATTTTTTGTAGACACTGGAAGTGATTGTGTGTTTACCTTCGGTCTTTCATTAAACATCGCTTAACAAGAACAGATTATTAGTTGTTTGCGGCAAATAGTACGGTAATCAACAACCTTCAATTTTTTTTTACTTGTGCTGTAAGAACTTGCTTATCACCAATTTAAAGATTCTTCGTCAATAAGAGGTACCTTATAGGTTTTAATTTAACTCTGAAGTAGTATTAAAGTTGTTTAAAATGTAACGTATATTTTGATTTCCTTCACTTGAGCTTGATTTTTACAACTTAAATACAAGATATCAGGTTAAAACTAACATTTAATATTACCGTGCATCCTGAATAAAAGGGTCTTGACAAATTTATGGAACTTTAAGATTTCCTTAAGGTTAGGAAAGCGAACCCTGAAAACAAAACAATTCAAAATTTTAAACTATTTATTATGGAACTTAAGATAGACAGTTATTACAAGCAAAAGAGTACATCGTCATTCGTTCCATCCATAAAATTGTTAAATAGATTACCGGTTGATCTAAAAGATCTTCCTGTAAGTATCTAAACTAGTAGTATGACTTGACTTGTAGTAGTAGAATCTCTCGACTAGTCAAGCCCGGATGGCGTAGTGGTTTAAGCGGTCGCCACGCCGCTTACGTTGAGTTTTGTGGGTTACGCTGAGTTTTGTGGGTTCAACCCCCACATTGGATGACACTTTGTGTGATCCACAAATTGTTTTTCTGAGTCTGATTCTTCTTTGTGTCCGTTTCATTTATGTTTATAAAGTCCCCCGAGACACAGGTATATTCCTAATGCGGGAGTTATCTTTAAAAAAAAAAAGGAAAAAAGTATATGCTAGGCGTATTCTTTTTTCCGTTAAGTAAAGAAATAGATAGGCTTTTGAATAGTCATTAGGTATGAATTTTTTAACATATTTTATTATTATTTTTAAAATCAAGCTGACACTTAATAGTATTCAAGACATACACAATTTCATTAACAATTATTTATCCCTATTTATCATGACGCATGCTATGTATACACAATATATATCCTCTTGTTCTTTAATGTATAACAATGGGAGATGATCAGCATATAAATGATACGCACATTGAACATTGTATGACTTGTAAGATTAATAAAGAAAGATAAAATTTAATAGTTAAGTGTAATAACAATCATAACACAAAAAAGTTATGAATCCCATGCACAGGAAGCAGATTTTTCTCGTATCTTTGTTTTTTCTATCTTTGTAATTAAATTCGTGAGACCAGCTAACGTAGTTAAGATTTCGTATAATTGTATGGCGATTCTAAGTCACTTCAGTAACTTTGTCACATTGGTACCATTTTTGTTTTCCTCAATTTATAATGTAAATCGTAATCAATTTATAAGAGTCGACTAAGGGAGCAAACTACGCAGAACAACAGCACTGCAAACTATACCAAACCGTCTGGCCAGCGTATTATGTTAGGCCAAAACCACCTTTCTAAGAAGAGACCTATCTGCAGCAGTAGACTATTAAAGGCTTTAGATGATGACGATGTAAAGTAAGTAATGTATACGCCTTATAATAAAGTAACAGAAAGGGAAAAGATTTATTTTTATGGTAAACTTCCTTGATTCAATTTCCCTTCAACTTTTCTTGATTTGGAGGGGAGGTGAGGGTAGGACTTCAACTCACCTCACTCACTCGTTGAAAAGCAACAAAATAACTTTGATAGTTTGTACTTATCTATATGCAGGGATACATGTCACCCTGACAGAAGCAGGCTTAAGACGAAAATTAACAAAACACTATGCGTGCACCCGTTTTTCAACAGGTGATATATTATAGTAGATGAAATCCGAGAATTTACAAATAATGTAATGTTAAGTCATAAAAAATATGTTTGCGCTTATATTGCGAACGTTAGAAAAACCTTACGAGATTGATCAAAATAATGTACTACGGAATTATATATTAAAAAGATCTACAAAAAAGTCAGAGACGGTAAATGTCTATCTACAGTAACCATTTTTATCTTCTACATATTACAAAAAATAGGAGGTAAATTATGAAGATATTTTGAACAAAACAGCATTTTTCCTTATTCAAATAAATACATAGATAAATTGTGTATTTAACAACTACAACGACTACAAAGGTCATACTCTATCTATGAACGCAATAGTCGATGACTTCGTAAAAGACATTGACAAGGAAGATCAACAGCCAATAAGTAACGTAAAAAAGCTTGGATTTACGACAACTACTTAACATCACGTTTCAACTGATCGTTTCTGGTATAAGATATAAACCAGAACTACTTAAGAACACTGGACGCGAAAGTCACTAAGATATTGAAGTCGTGCTGTGCCGTCTGCAGACCCGTCAACGTTGTCCCTGTACAACGTTGACGGCTCGAATAACTTTGGAATGAAATTAAAAAGATCTTCGGATCTCTACAGTGTTTGTACACTCTACACTCTAATAGTTACCAAAATGCATGTCTTGTCAAAATCACAAGACGAAATCATTAGATCCCTTCCAAATGACAAAAAATCATCAGAGCTCGAGTCGCGGCTCCAATTCCAGAAGAAATTCATAGTGAGTACGCAGTGCAGTAGAATTGGATTGGGCAATTCTAGAAGACAGACCGACAAAGAGGTAACTAAATCTTTCTTATAACAAGATGAAAACGAGACCTACAAGGTGCACACAATAAAATGCAGAATGAATGGTTAACTCTAGGAGAATTTTGTATCCCACCAGCTTTGAAATGGTGCACACTTTTATACCATTGGTCACCTGTCAACATTTTTTCTCAACGCCTTTCAATTGACTCTCCCCGATCAAAGCAACCTAGTAAGGTGGAAAAAAGCTACAGAAAGGCTTGTACGATATGCAGTGCGGAAATAGGTACAGCGAGGCACCTCCTGACAGGATGTAAGGCGCTATTAGACCGGGGTCATTATTCACATCGTCAAGATAGGGTATTCAATATACATTACAAATCATACATGAAGCTATAAGGTTATCGCTGAGAGCGACTTGTAAGAGCGAAAAAAGGAATGACAATAAACATAAGAACTAACATCGCGTTTGTAAAGGAAGGCTGAACAAAAAAGACTTCACAAAAGCCGTACTCAATTATGAATATCGCCAGTGACTGGACATTATTAGTGGACATGTATGATTACAT